TCTAGGGAGAAGAGGTGGTAGGAACTGAGCTGGTAAAAGGCTGGAGCGACAATGGAGGGGGCGGCCGGGCTGGAGGCCAGAGAGCTGGTTGCGGAAGGAGTGAGGAAGGGCACGGAGACTCAGGAGGTGGCAGGTGGGACTTGAAGATAGAAGAGGACAGGGGAGCGGGCCAGCCTCTCCGGACATCTTCCCGAAGGCCAGAACTGCTTGCTCCCTTCCCCCGTTTGATCCTGCCCTGGGCCCCTCTGAGCCCACGGGAGTTGGCGACTGTGGCCCCAGGAAATCCGAGGTCTGCCAGCAAACGGTTTGCAGAAGAAGGCCTCCCGGGGATGGGCTGGCCCCCCAGGGCTGACGCCACCTGTGTGTCCCGTGTTCCCCTGCAAGGCCGGGCCTGCCGCCTGCCCCAGGCTTTGCTGGGCCCAGTGCAGGGAACAAGTGTGCCGGAGGGTTGCTGGCCGCATTGGCTTTGCTCTGTTTGTTTTTAACTCTTCTCATTTTCGCCGACAATTGCCATGTGTATTTGGAGGCTGCAAAGTGCGGAGCGTGGAAATGATGTTACTTAATAATGCTGGGATGCTGTGTTCTTTAAGAGCTATTTGCATTGTTGTTCATTGCAGAACCATCATTTTTTTTTATTTAAAAAATCATACATTGTAGCTTTTTTTTTTTTAATTCACAGAAGCACAAAGAAAGGGCCGTACTCTTCCTGCTGAGATAATTCCTGATGACAGTACCAAGCGGGGGAGGGAGGGTGGGGGGAGGGGGGAAGGAGGATTCCTTGTATAAAACCAGAAAATTTGCACAGTACGGAAAAGTACAAATAGTTTACTTTTGAGATTGAAATAAGCCACCTCCTTAGGTCTCCAAAACCTAGTGGGGCCTGCCTGATCAGAATGCAAATAAGGAATCCCCTGTAGGTGTTTTTTTTTTAAACTAGTAAACTTGGTGAAGATCTTCTTTTTCTGGCTAAATGACATTTCCTCCTTTCACTATTTTTTCCACTTTCAAACTTCTGCTTTGGATGCATTCCACCTTTTGGAAGCTTGAGACTAAAAATGACTTTCCTATTGATGTCCCCATCCCTCTCACAAGAAATGAGCCTGTCTTTCACCTTCGGAATTCTCAATCAGATGCCGACGCCGACGCCTTCCACTGGTGGCTACTTTCTCATTTTCTGCTTTTTGCCTCTTTTAACGATGGGCATGCACATGGCAGCCTTATGGTATTGCTGTAAAAAAGAACAAAGAGGAAAATAAACAATGCTGTGCTACCTGGAAAATAGGAAGGATTAATTCGCAGTGCCCGTGCCTGTTGTTTCCTTAGCTTCTGGTGCAGGAAGAAGAAAAGGGGAATATGTCTCCTTTTTCTATTTTGTTTGTTTTTCATTACACTATTAATCTCCATAAATAAGGCATGTTTTTCTTTTAGTTACAGATCGACTAGGAAAAAATGCATATGCTAAACCAGATGGGTTTGCAATTAATAGTTTAATTAAACTGGTTTTAAAATGACCAGTTTCACAAGATCACCAGTGTCATTGTAGCTTTGATTTTGTGCTACAGGTAGAATTTGAACTTTAAAGGATGTGCAAAACAGACCAGTTGTGCCCTGGTCAAGTAGCTCAGTGGGTCTCTCTCTCTCTCTCTCTCTCCGTCAAATCAATACATTTTAAAAAATTAGAAAAGGAGCAGTTTTACTTTAGATATATTTTTAAAATTATATTCACTAATACAGAAACTTGTTTAGATTGTTTTGCAGAGAAAACATTGATTGGTAGTATGTGGGGTGGGGAGTTCATTTTAATATATAAAAAAACTAATGAAGCCTTTTCAACCCTCCTGCATTTCGGTCTGTGAAGTGTTTTTGTGCTAAAGCTTGGAGCTTTGTAAAGGATTTCCCTTTAGCCCCTTACTCTCCAGCAATCCCGGCTACCTGGACACATTCCCGCTAATGATTTCTGGGGTTCTGTGCCAGGGGTCAGCGGGGCAAGTGTTTCATTTGGAGCTTCATTTGGTTTGGAGTCTCTTCTCTCCTCTGAGCCCACAAAGTCCATGTTCGTGGTTACTCAGGCAAAGCTCATCTTAGTTAGGGGTTTGGCAGAGCAAGTGAGGCAGGGATGAGTTGTTAACAAAAGCTAATGTTGCCTTGCTCTGAACGTGCACAGAGAGGCATCTGAGATAGTATATATTTAAAAGTAAACATGTGAATAAGCACAAGTAGAATTTATTTTGCAACTCCATCGGGGTGCTGCCGGCACACTGCATCCAGTGAAGATCTATATCCTGTCAAACAGTTGAGTAAGATGGAATTCCTCTCACAGCTACGCAAAGGGAAATCCAAAAGGAGACCTCCAGACTTGTGGAGGAAGGGGTGTTGTTATTCAGATATATCCCAACAGCTGAGCAGAGAGGAACGTTCAAGGATGTTCACTGCCCTGTTGTTGGTTGTAGCAAAACCACTGGACACAACCCAGGAGTCTAAAAATAGAGGACTGGTTAGAACAGCAACACTGCTATAGAATGCAATACTATTAAAGCTTTAGAAAGAGTGAGCTTCTGACAGCCATGGACAGATACTCATGAGATGTAAGTTAATTTCTAAAAGTTAAGGGTCAGAATCTATGGAGACTTTTTGGGAAGAAAATATGTATATATATATGCAGAGAGAGATGAATTATTTTCTGTGCAAAGGAAAAGTCTGGAAGTATGCACAATGCACACCAAGCTTTCTTTTTTTTTAAAGATTTTATTTTGATTCATTTTTAGAGAGAGGGAAAGGGCAGGAGAAAGAGAGAGAGAAACACCAGTGTGTGGTTGCCTCTCGCGTGCCCCCAACCTGCCCCACAACCCAGGCAGCGTGGCCTGGCTGGGAATCGAACTGGCAACATTTCAGTTCACAGGCTGGCTCTCAGTCCGTCGAGCCACACCAGCCAGGGCACCAAGTTTTTAACAGTGTTTCTCTTCTCTGGTAAAGGATGATTGGGAGAATAATTTTTTAAATGATGAGAATTATTTTGGTACTCCTGACATGAAAACATGTTGAATTACTTGATTATTTATTTATTTAAAAATTCTTGTTTTATAATGATTCTTCTTATTAAAATACCCAGAAGCAGCAACATTTTCTCAAAATCTTCATTAGCATAATATATTCTGCCTGTTTACAGCTCATTTTAAATTAGTAAAGAAAATTTTAATGGAGTTTATTGTACTTTTGAAGCAAAATCTGTATAAAAAGGACTACTTCTGATGATCAAAAGGGTGCTATTTCTAAATCTCCTGGGAATAAATGGGTTTTAATTTGAGAGGGGGAGAAGGGTTGGGAGAGAGGGAACTTCTGTTTTTATTTTATACAAATCTGCATTCTTTGATTTTTTTTCTTTCTTTACAAAAAGCTGCTATTTCTTTAGGGATTAAAAAAATACAGAAAGAGGAGTAAATTCCATTCGTTCAGGAGGGTGATTTTCTCTTCTCAGCGTCTACCACTTGGGATGGGGAGAGTGCGGGCAGACCAGCCTCTGTCTGGGGAACCCAAGAGGGTTGGGCGGGGCGATCCAGGAGCCTGGAGATTTACTTTTCAGCTCTGGGTGTAGGGGGTGGGTGGGCTGCCCCGAAGCTCAGCCCAAAATGGCACATGCCGCCTTTCAGGGACAGCCAGCCTGTGTGCCTGGCCCGGAGCGACTGGCACCTGCTCCTCGCAGTTTCATCCATGGGCCCACTGCCCTTAAAGAAATCCTGTCTTAGATCTTCCCATTCAAGTTTCCCCACATTGGAAACTCCCCTCTCTTCATCCTCTTACTGGGTGCTCATAGAATAAACCTCTTACTGCCTTCTGAAAGTTGTTAGTAATATTTTAATTTGGGACAGAATGAAGAACATTAAAGAAAAATGTTGTACATAATTTTTAGGCAGTTAAAGTTTTAGTCTGGAATAAATTAACCATATCTCTTTAAATGTAAATAGTGTCTGTGCGATCCTATGTGGTCTTTTGTAACAGAGCACAGACTGGAAAGTAAACATTCATTGTCAGAATTAATAAATAAGAGACAAGAATAATGTAGACAGACTTTAGAAGACTGTAATACTTACATGCTAGGGCCATATAACTTGCTATCTTGGGCTTAAAAGGTTTATCAGATTTAGAGAGGATTAGGTAAAAGGAAGTATCACATAGCTTAAAGCAGTTGTGTAAAGAGTTCTCTACCTTGGTGACCAGGTACTTATTGAGACATCTGGCTGCCTGTTAATCAGGAGGCAGGTGTAGCAGAGTGAGTAGGAACTCCAGCTTTTGTGACCAGCAAAGCTGGATTCAGAGCCAGGCTCAGCCACTGGCCAGCTTTTGTAACTTGAGAGGGTGAGTCGACCTCTCCAGGCTTCCGTCTGCTCTTCTGAAAAACGGAGGATGCCAGTCACAGCACCCCCCTCACAAAGTTGTTGGGATCACCTGGCAGAATTTGCGTAAGATACCTAACACAGTATTTGGCATTTGGTAAGCCTTCAGTAAAAGCTGATTCATTCTTGTTATTGTATTTAGACACTGAAGGCAAAAGAAAGAGAAGCATCTCAAAATAAGTTTCTTTTGCTCAACTTTTTAGAACAACACCTAGGAATGATTTCTGAAATAAAACACTTTCTTCTTCAGAGAGTCTTAGAGGGAAAAATGTCTCTGGAAGTTTAGGTAGTCCTGACTTGGTGCTGAGTTACACCGAGTGAATTACTCTCTTGAGGCGCTGTCTCAGCTAAATAAGGCACATCCTTTTACCCAGGATGCTAGGCTGTCATTTGGTGCCAAAGGAAAAAGCTATTTACAGAATGACAACGTGGCATCCCCAGAGGGTTTGATTTACCTTCACCTCCCCGGAAGGGGGTGTATTTCAAGGCACCGCAGAACCATCCGCATTAATAACTTAGGTGGTTTAATTGGCTTTTCCCTCTACTTTCTAAAGCCGCGTTGATCCCATGGTAATTAATTGTGTGGGCTGTGAATTGCGTTACTTACAGCGCCAAGGCACCAAAATGAATCTGTTTTGGAAATCGGCGGGATGATATTTGAAAAGGCTGTAAAGAGACTCTCCAGTGCGGATGGTCTTCACCAAATTAGTTCTGTCGTCCCCTTCCTGATGGATTCCAGCTGCTGTGGATATCATAAAGCATCCTACTACCTCGCAGTCTTTTATGAAACTGGATTGAATGTACCTCGGGATCAGCTGCAGGTAGAGTATTTCATGGGATCAAGGGATATCGGTTACCCATGTTCTATTTGCAGAGTAACGCTGTCATGGCCCAGATTGAACTGGATGAGTTCATGATCCCAGGAACTGAATGTCGACACGCAAGCACAGCATCCTAGGGCTGTGTTAAGTACAGGCTCCTGCTTTCAGTCTCCACTCCTAGGTTCGGGGACGTGATTGGCTTACGCTAAGGAACAGTTTGGGCAGGGCTCACCAGAATCCCAGCCCTTCGGGAACAGGTGCCTCTTGCCTAACTCTTGTAACGACCCTGGCTGTGAGACCATCGTTTCATGACTTGTTAGCTAAGTTATGTCATTTTGACTTCTAAGCCAAGTATTGCCATATCCAGCCTTCCAAATAAAAGCTATACCAGGCAGTTTCCTTTTTGGTTCTGGAACCAGATTTATTATGCAACTTGTGGAACATTTGGAATCCCATTTGTGTAAGTACTGCCAAATGGTCCCTGATCACCTTGTGTTGAGATTTGTTCATCCTGAGCTTGGAGAGTCATGCTGTTTAGACATGCCCTGGTGGCTCTGTGTTTCTCAGTGACTTCTTCGTGCGCATCTCTGGCTAAGAGAAGCCATGACTGATGGGATGCTTTCCCGAGTCCCCGAGGCAGTTCCCACAAAGGTGAAATAGTCTAGAAGATTCCAGCCCTGTCTCTGCCACAAAGTGGCTAGCTGGTCATAGAGCAATGACACTACTTCTCTGGGCCTCTATTTCCTCAACTGTGAAATGAGTTTGTTGGACTAGTTGATCTCAAAAGACCATTCCCAGCACTAACATTCAGTGAGCATGAAGTTGGGACATGGCCTGCTCTTCAGGCCATCTAGCCAGCGGTGATGTGGCTGGCACAGACCAGGAACCCTTAGAACAGTTGGCGGGCACACGTGATGCTGTGAGAGAAGTCAGGGGAAGGCCCCCCCCATCGACATTGAAGAACAGCAAAAGTCAAGGAATTTTAAGCTATCAGACATTTACAAGGGCACATAGTTGGGAATCTGTTAACCTTTAGAAAGCTGCAGTACGTTCTTTTCTAAAGATATTTTCAAGTCATGTTAATGTGTTTTGGAATGACCAGGATCATTGTTTGTAAGGACGGGGCCAGATGACCTTTCGGTGGTTGGGTTTTGGACCCTTCCCTCTAACCTTGTGAACCCTCTCCATTTCTTCCTAACAGGGCATGCTGTATAGTTTGGTTGGAGGCCAGGGCAGTGAGAGGCTGTCTTCAATGAACCTTGGCTACAAACACTTCCAGGGTATTGCTAACTACCCCCTGGACTGGGAGCTGTCCTATGCCTATTACAGCAACATTGCCACAAAGACACCACTCGACCAGCACACGCTGCAAGGAGATCAGGTACGAGAGATAGGCGGGAGGAAGTGCCTATGGCCCTGTTTACTAGGACTTCCTGAATTTTTTTTTAAAGTGTCTACACCTGTGGCTGTCTACATCCACTGGCCTCCAGAGGATGAGCATCACTGATTGGAGAGAAAAACTTTCTTTTCCTCTCCAGTTCGTATTTCCTGTCTGTGCTCTCAGGCCAAATGTAGGAACAGTCCTCCATCTGTGCACGTAAAAGTTTTCACGAATGGAAGGACTCATAGACAAAAGACAGGTTATGATTTTGCAAGAGACTGTGTGCCAGAAACATACGCATCTTGTCTTTGGTCCAGGACCTTGTCACGTGGTGGGTCTAGAGATGTTTGAGGGGATTGAGTCAAATGGAGGTGGGCATTAAACCAAGGGCTTCTATCAATATGTAACGAGCAAGCAGGGTCAATGATATGAGGAAGCAAACCCCGTCAGAGCTATGTTCCCACTGCTGGACGCCTTGAGAAGCACCTGTCCCCATCATGTGAGCCTTGCTAGCCCAGTGCTCCTGGGTGATTGACAGCATGTGATGTTTGCACTAACTCTAGCCCCTAACTTTGTAGGCTCCTAAATCTTTTTGACTCTTTGGGCAAAGGTATCAGTGGCTTACATCTACTCACAAAACATAATGTGTTACATTAGGCCAACCGATGGTTTGTTTCCAGACTTGTATGGATGGCTGTGAATGAAAGGGCACAAGTAAAGGAGACGGTATAAGACTAAAAGGGAAGCTGCCTGCAGATGCTGGAGATTTGGATCCGGGGAATAGACCATGACGTGGTTAGCCTCTTGGGATGTGTTTTATATATCCTCTTCCTCCAGACAGGATTTAAGATGTTTTGATGGTCTTAGCACTTGAGGTGTTTGAGTTGAGAGGAAGTGCAGGTGGTTTATACTAGGAGTCAGCAATTTTTTTTTTTTTTTCTGTAAAGGGCCAGAGAGTAAATACAGGCTTAGCCTGTACAGTCTTTGTTGCAATGACTCAACTCTGCCAGAGACAGAGTATAAATGAAATGCAAACTGCTTTGCTAGATTTGGCCTTGATCTAGGCCATAACCTCTTGTTTTTCCCTGCTTGTGCTCAGAGAGCCTAGGGGTAGGCCTGGCTGGGTCAGGACTATGGAATCTTAGGCCAAGCAGCTAATGGGGGCCAGGCCTCTCACTGTTCCCTCGCGTGGCTCCCGGATTGCCCACAGGACAGAAGCCACGTGCTTTGATGAGTGGGAATGAGTGGTTTCTGGAAGAGAGATCTACAGTGACCGCTATACATTATGAAGTGACTCAAAGGCACATGCTGCCAGTGAACATTAAACATGGGTCAAGCTATAAAACATCAAAAGGCTGTTGGTAAAGACATCCTAATTCCTTTAGAAAGTGATTTCTTTTGAACAAACATACACATTTTTCTCATCATTGTGTATAACCCCTCAGTGTATATAAGCTATGCATAAAATTTGACCGTTCGACAGGCATTAATTTAATTCATAAAGTTTTTTTTTAATTATTCTGAAAAACATTCATACAAAATCAAGCCACCAAATAATATTGCCACTGCTCTACTAAGCCTGGATGTGTTAATGATGTCCTATATGTATATATTATACTTTTAAGAATTCTAATTTAGCATAAATTAGCAACAGGAAATGGTATATTGCTAACAAGCTCCTTTTCTTTTGAAGATTTGACACATGAAACGTTATGATTATGAAAGAAAATGTTTAATTGGTCAGAACCAGAGAAGTTGAATAGCAAAGATCCATCTTGCAGCTGAAAAATCGTATGATTAAGAATGCCAGATACAAATTACACAGTTAGAAGAGTTGTATCATAGCTCATTTTCTTAAGAATGTGTAATTAATGGCTTCTTGAGAATCCAAGCAGGTGTCATATGTTGACGTAAATGTCCTTTTGCTGAGAAATCTATTAATTCAGCAGCAGCACGTAACAGATGAGGAGATACGGAAGGCCAGACCTCTAATTAACAAACTGAGGATCTGTCAGAAGTTCTTTGCTTGATTCTTGTTTCATTTTCTCTTTTATGTAATGCATAGTTGGCACCACTTCATCTTCTTTTTTAGTAATCTCACTTCACGTCACTTCTTTATGATTTTGTGGGGATTTGCTTCAGGTTAAAGAGAGGGAAGGTGCTCTCGGGTTTTGTATGTTTTTGTGGCTTAATCACAAACAAGTTCCTCTCATTCCCTCCACCTTTGAACTTGCTTTTTCCATGGGATTTGGCCCGCAGCCTCCTCTCTACACCTGCTGGAGGGCTGGGGTCTCGTCTCATCCACACCCCTGGTTTCAGCTGTCCCCCGCATCCGATGGCACTCAGCCCTTCTTTTCCCGCTGGGCTATTGCTCATAACCCACATCTGCTCTCCGGACATACTGCAAAGGACACCCAGCCTTTCCTCCCCCCACTCCCCTCAAACACCTAAACTGATGGCACCGTTTTCCATGCTGGTGACCGGGCTGTCATCTTGGATGCCCCCCATCATCCTATCAGTGACCGCCCCCAACAGCTTTCCACGCCACTCGGCCTCTGCCCATTTCCATCCCAGCATCCGTCCTTCATCGTCTCTCCCTGAGCCGCTGTGACAGCCTCCGACTGGGGGCTGAATTACATGCACCTCCCCCTACCCCTCAATTTATATGTTGCAGCCCTTACCCCTAGTACTTCAGAATGTGACTGTATTTGGAAATAAGGCCTTTAAAAAGGTAATCAAGTTAAAAATGGAGTCAGTAGGACTGTTGTCCTTACATGAAGAGGAGATTAGGACGCAGACAAAACAGACCGAAGGGTGTCCGCGTGAGGACACAGCAAGAAGGTGACCATCTGCATGCGACAGACAGAGGCCTCAGAAGAAACTAAACCTGCCAACACCTTGATCTTGGACTTACGCCTCCAGAGCTGTGAGAAAATAAATATCCGTGGTTTAAATCACCCAGCCTGGGGTATTTCGTCATGGCAGCCCGAGCAAACACATATACCTCCTAACTGGTCTTTCTGTCACCGGTCTTGTCCCTTCCCATTCTCTTCTCATGGAGGCCACAGGGGGCTGTCGACTGGGGAGGTTCTCAACCTGACTATGTGTCTGAATTGCCTGGTGGCTTAGAGAACACATCTGCACGGGCCCCACCCCACAGCCTTACAGAAGTGAGGATGTGGCCCAGGCATAGAATATGCACGTGTGTGTGTATGTGGATGTGTCTGTTTTAAAACCCCTCAGACGATCATAATGTGCAGCCAGGGCTGAGAAGGGCTGACCCAGAAGCACTAAGTCCAGTGCATCACTGGGCAGAGGAGATGCTCCTTGACCCGGTTTCTCTCTGCGTCCCCCACCTCCGCTCTCGGCCATCGCTGCCTGGCATGCCCACCCTGGAAACAGTAAGCCTCTAGCCACACCTCCCAGCCCTGCTGGCTCTCCTCTGCCTGGTGTTCCTTCTCCCCACCTACCAGCCTTTTCCTGCCTGCTGGCCCCTCCTCCTACTTGTACACAAGGCTCACACTTCACCTCCTCCTGATCTCCCCTTTGCTAGGAGGTCTCGGCACTGGGCACTCTGCCATTGCTCTCATGATGGGTGTTGGGTACAGGGTCAAAGACCCGGCTCCCCCAGTAGGCTGTGAGCTCTGAGATAAGCATCTCGTCTTTTCACATCAGTGAGCCCAGTGCCCAGCACTGGCTTGACATAGAGTTGGCGCTCAGTGTTTACCAATGGGGTGATGGGCAGGCTGGGAGTGCAGAGCATGCAGTCCAGGGATAAACACAAAGGGATTGCAATTTCTTGTTGACTCTGATGCTTTGTGATGCAACCAGTGTCCATTGTTGATGGCTAGGACCCAGAGCATTGGTTGAAACTCTACCAGTGTTGCATTCAACACCTCCTTAGTATGCCACACACCCCTACCTTGGGGAATCTTGGGTACTTACTTTCCTGTCTGTCTATGTTACTGCTGATATTCCCCCATTCTTACTTTAAAATCCCTAGTTAAACTTCAACAAAGAACACACACCCTCCCCCGCTCCCCTAGGCAGGTTCCTAATGGCAGTTTCCACAGGCCCCGGGGGGAGTTAGTGGAGGTAGGTAGGTGGTTTCAGTGTAAGCTCTGAACCGGTCCTGCTCCTCAGTTCCCAGGCTGGCTGCTCCATCTGTCTCATAGCTCCAGCGACCACAGAGGCGCTGGAAGAGGGAAGGGGGCGCTGTTGGGGCCCGTGCTCCCCAGCTGCAAAGTTGGAGGGTTTTTTCCTTCCTGCCCTGTCTTCTGTCCTCTTTCTCTGTTCCTGTCTCTCTTTCTCCCTCCCTTTCCTCTCTCCTCTCCACCACTCTATTTCCATCCCTCTCTCTTTTCCTCCCTTCGTTTTTCCTTCTCTTCCTCTCTCCCTTCTTTACAGCCCTGCCTTGCATTCTCTTTCTCTTTGCTTTCTCTGTCTGTCTCCCTTTGAAAAAATTAAGGAGAAGAAGAAAAACAGCTCAAAATCCAAACTCTCCAGGCAAACAAAAAACTTCTAGCTGAGAATTCCATCCTGGGAGCAGGTGAAGCCCGTTTCAGGCTCACCACTGGCAATTGCGCCCCCTGCAGGTTGAGCTGAAGCACCACTCGTTGGTCATGCACTTGGCAAAGAGTTAACAAGTGACATGTGCCCAGGCAGGATTCCAGGACCTTCTCACTAGAGGACACCGTTGGCGGAGCTGGTCAGAGCCCTGTCTTTGGACTCAAGCCAACCTAGCTTCCAGGGCCAGCTCTGCAACGTGACCTTGACTGAGTTCATGGTTTCACCTCTGCACCTCAGTTTTTTTTCTGGGCGTCTAAATTGAGGACAGTGATGTTTGGATCACAGCCCTGTTGTGAGGACTAAATGGGGGGAAAGAAACAGTTGTTAAACACCCAGTACATAGTTGGTTTGAATAAAAAGGTCATGGGCATCATTATTCTCATTGTTGCTCTTGGCTCAGTGGTCTCCCGAGGTTAGACATCCAGCAGGAATTAATACCCACTGGGTCCTAAGTCCTCACACTGTCCCCAAGCCTCAGTGCCCTAGTGGCCCTGAAAGGGACCTCTGACTCCACACAACCACAGTGGAGAAGGCAACTGAAAGACCTTCTCAGGAATGGGGTTGTGGGCTAGAGTTTGTGACTCTAAGTACTTTTCTTATCTAACAACAGAGAGGTCTGAAGGGAAATCAGCTCCTTGTTCTCTGAGGCTTTTTTCCCAAACTCGCTCAGATCCAATTTTTTCACCATCTGCTTGCAGCTGCGCTGGCATGCGAAGCCCTTTTTGGGACCCCTCGCGGCACTCTTGGGCAGAATTCATTGTGCGTAAGGGGAGACCATGAGACAATAGGACTGGTTTTTTGATAAACAGCCAAAATATATACTTCAAAATGAGGCTTATTTTCTTCAGAGGAGTCCGAGACCTGGGAGGCTGTTCACAAATTCAAACACTTTGTGACTTTCCCTTCAGGTTCATCTGCAGTGCTGCTGAGCACACGCTCCCTCGCACCCTCAGAGTTAACATGCCCTCTTCTTTGCAAGGTGGATTTAATTTTTGGAAATAGCCAGAAGATATTTGAAGCAGAGCCTGCTAAATAGAAAGGGTTAGTCATGCAGGATAATAACACTTTGGGATAAAAAAATAAGGTTATACTTAGGAAATATTGATTTACCTTTTTCGATGCTATGTGTAATCTGGCTCTGAAATCAGAGGCACAGAAGTTGACTTCTGAACAAGCTTAAGTGATAGAAGTGGAAGTGGAATACATTTTGCCCTCCCAAGATATATGCTTTTATAGGAACAGAAATGCTCATTTAGATACATTGGATGTGATGCATTTGTTTAAAAATTTTTTTGATCTGATGATACGGTGGATACCCCTCATATTTCAATTATTCATATAGTTTTCCCCTGAGCAACTTATGGTTTAAGAACAATGTTTTGTCTTTTGCATGCCTAAATCATTTAGATGTTTTCCATCTCCTTTCTTCCTTCCCTTCTTCTCTCTCTCCCTCACTCCCTCCCTTCTTTCCTTGCTTCCTTTTTAGGCATATGTTGAAACAATTAGACTAAAAGATGATGAAGTACTCAAGGTACAAACCAAAGAAGATGGAGATGTCTTTATGTGGTTGAAGCATGAAGCCACCCGAGGCAATGCAGCAGCTCAGGTAAAAACGTGGTCCGCTGTCTTAGAATTTCTATCATGATAGGCCAGGTTATGCTGTGGTAGCGAACTCCCCGAAACCTCAGTGGCTTAAAGTGATGCTGGTTTATTTCCCACTCCCACGACCTGTCCAATGGGAGTTGGCATGGACTGTGCTGTCATAGTCCGCTAGGAACGCAAGCTAACGGAGTCTTCATCAAAATGCATGTTTCTAAAGCCACTACAGCAGGATGATGGCCACAGGACACCCCCGCTGGCTCTTAACACTTCTGCTCAGAAATGGCACAAGTCACTCCTCACTTCTCATTGGCCAGAACATCACTTGGCCACCCTTGACTTCAGGTGGCCTGCCGTGTAGTCCTACCCCGAACCCAGAAAAGACAAAGAGCCACAATATTTCTGACCAATCTGATAGGCTACCAGTGGACATTAGTGCATGAGATAGAAACAAAGAGAAGTATCTTGGGGTGTGGGAGAGATTGGATGGGCATTGAGAAGGCCATGAATTTGGCCGGAATAACAGAAAACCATCTGCCAAAAAGATCGACCCTATCTCTTGAACATGTCTTTTGGGTGGACTTTGAAAGGGTACTAGAAAGGCCAGAAGGCTGGAGAACATGCCCTGTCTGCCCTTTTGCCTTGATTCGCTGTGAAGAAGGTCCCCTGGTGGGAACCGGCTAAGGCTGATTGCACCAGGGCAGGGCGGGGGGGGGGGGGGGGGGTGGAGGCCTCCTTCCCAAAGGATTTAACTTTGTCTTCACGCTCCTGGTGAGCACACAGTGTTGGGAAGGGCCCCTGGGGCCGCTAGGCAGGCCGGAGAACCAGAAACGGAAAGTGAAGACAACAGAAGAATAAACGCATCGACAAGCACCCATTTCAGGGACTCTAGTAACAGGCCTCCTACCCTCTGTAGACATCTTCCTAGCAATTCAGGGGATACTTTGCTGGAAGGTGAAAGTATTTGGTAGAGTTGGAGGGGGGTAGAGAGGGAAAAGAAGGAGATGAGAGAAGCAGCAGAAAGAAGACAATCAGGAACCCACATGGGACCAGAATGTTAACAGATGTTGCCTCTGTCGTTAGCCTGCACACTTTCTAGAGCGGGAAGGACTTCCAAGGAATAGTTCTGGAAAGGCCACTGCCAGAGCCCCATTCTGGGTGCTCCAGAGCCTGCTTGCACTTTCCTAGCCATGGATACTCCTTCCTTCCTTCATTCAACAATTCTTTGTTGAGGGGCTTCTATGAACTCTGCTGGGTGGAGGCCGAGGGGATGAAGGCAAACCAATCACATCTTGCAGTTTCTACCCCCAGGAGTTTCCCTGCCTCAAGTGTAACTGTGGAGCCAGCCATGTGGACAAATGTTGGGCTAAGAGGAGATAAATGCCGTAGAAAGACGCCCTAACAGATGTGGATGTGCACAGACCTCTACACGGCTCACTGGGCCAAGGGTACTGGGAGGCAGTACCTCCCAAAGGAGGGGACTTAGGAGGGGAAGGGACAGTTGTGATTGCCTTCAGCCAGCTCTGGCCCTGTGTGCAGTTCATTCATTTGCATGCGTGGACATACGCCAACAAGCACGCACACATGCACAGGCGCTCCATTTCCAAGTTGCGTTAAGGACTAATACTTACACAAGACCACCTTCAGAGCTCTGGCTCAAGTTGGAAGATAACATGGGTCTACCCCATTCTCGGTTCTCACTATGTAGACATTGCAAGCCAGGTTTGCCCTCTCACCTTTTAAAACCTTCTGTTAAGCCTTACACAGGAAAGTCATTATTCTAAACTGCTCTTGTCTTGAAGCAACGATTGGCCCAGATGTTGTTCTGGGGGCAGCAAGGTGTGGCCAAGAACCCCGAAGCTGCAATCGAGTGGTACGCCAAGGGCGCCCTGGAGACCGAGGACCCCGCACTGATATACGACTATGCCATTGTGTTATTCAAGGTAAGAATTTCTCTCTTCGTGCTGAAGCTGTGCATTTCTCATCAGACTTCCTGGGCAGTCTCCAGGAGGCATGCAGTCAAACAGGGAGTCCGGAACCGAAGAAACTCAGTATACCCTTCTGTCGCTCTTAACGAGAAGGGATATTTGCTGAAAAGGCAGAGTCAGAGGTGGGCCCCTGGTCTCGTTTTTAATCCCTAGTCTTATGTTTGGCACCTGGAGTCTCTTTGCTTTTGCCAGAGCTGTGGCTGTCTGCAGGAGACACCCATAGTCTATGGATTGATAGGTGACTGCCAGCCCCCAAAGGTGCTACTACAATATTGCCACCAAGCAATGCTGTCATTAAATTACAGCTTAAAGTGTGTGTTTAGGCTGGATCCCAACAGTCTCTGTTGATCAAACAAAGATCTTGGTTTTAAGCCAATGGAAGAATCGGGGACAGGTGGGAAGAGCATTAGCAGAATGGAGTTCGAGCCCTGCCTCTGCTGTGTCCTTGGAGTTATCTGATCCCATGGGACAACAGTGATGGCCACACAGTGAATGAAATAACATGATGAATGGGCTTTGAGACCTATAAAACAGTGTTTTACACAAAATAATGATAGTTCACAGTGATTAACTGAGCATTTATGATCTGATTTACATGTAGGAACCATTTAATCCTCCCAACAACCTTGCGAGGTAGGCACTGTGTGTAGTATTATTGTGGTTTATGTACATGGCAGCAGGGCCCAGAGAGGTTTTGTAACTTGCCCAAGGTCACACAGCTAGTACATTGCAAACCTGAAACTGAGAGCCAGGCAGTCCGGCTTCAGAGTCTGTGCTTTCCACTCCCCAACACAGAGACATCAGTTCACCAGCCTTGGAAAAGTAGAACACCGTTGGCTCTGGTAAGGGAACCCTGAAACCTGTGTCCGTGCCCAGAGAAAGCAGCTGCCCCCACATAGCAAGTGTCTTCCAACAAAAGCATGGATTCGTGTGGCCAGACCCAGCTCCAGAACCACAGCTGCAGCCACTCGCTGATTAACAACCATGACTTCTGCTGCATTTCTCACCTCCCAAAGCCTTAGAACCTATTGGTTGTTATGGTTTCCAAATTTATAGCCTGGGCTTTCTCTTTCCAGTTGTCAAATCAACATAGAAATGGTTTGACTCTTAGCCATATGCCAATGCATTCATGTATTTGTTCAATAAACAGCCATTGAGAGCTGCCACAGTGCCAGACTTAGTGCTAGATGGAGGGACATATGGATGCTTGGGCCGTGTTCCTGACCTCGGGGGGCTCGTGCATGGATGGGGAAGACAGGACAGAGACCGGCACAGAGGAGAGGTACCTGTCCACCGGAGTTGGGTCTGGCCACTGCCCGAAGTGCACGATTCAGACATTACTTCTGCCCGCCAGGAACTCGCAATCTAGAGGGAGAAGTAAATCCATAAATCAACTGCTCTGCAGGTGACATACTGTTTCCTTGGGCCTGATTTCCCCAACCCTAAAGCGTCTTCGATTTTCCAGCATTTTAACCAAGTTATTCTTAAGTGGGATGAGAAAAACCCTTTATCGGCATTTAAAGGAAGATTTTTACACCTCTGTCCAGAAGGTCTCTGAGTGTATTCCACGTGGCAGAACCCTGTGCAGAGAATGGGCTTTCCAGATGTGAAGAACAGTAACGTGCACGTGGCTTATTGTACTATGTGGGCATCCAGCTTATTGTACTCAACAGTGGCACCATGATGGTGGCAGTGGCTTGTCCAGGACAGTCAAGTCCATCCCATTTTGCAGCCACTTGAGGATGGAGCTTTGACTTTCACTGCTTGGCTGTCCTCAATGAACACATGCAGTGGACATTTCTGAGAACTTATTATGTTGTACCAGCACCTCACATCCCTTAAAGGCTTCCAGTGCTACTTAGATATGAGTATAATGTGTAGTCTTTGTGCAAGACCTTCTCCCTCTTCTGGTTAAATAACAAATACTTTGACCAATCCCTGCCTAGAAATCAGTCTCTGAGTTCTAGTTGCAGCTCTAACTGTGAGGTTTTGGATAAGTCAGGCTCTCTGAACCTCAGTTGTATTTCTTCAAAATAAAGAAGTTGGAAAAAGATAAACACTGGGTTCAACATTCTGTGGCCCTGGTGCATTTCCAGAAATCAAAAAAGGTGTCCCATTGACTCCAGTTATTCCAATAGCCTCATGTCCTCTCCTCTCTCCTCTCCCCCTCTAATTAAATGAAGTAATGATGCACTTCTGAGAAATATTTTCATCTCCTACTTTGCTTTGGCTCATCGGTTTTATTAAGTAGGTAAGTTAAAGTCTAATAGAAACTTGGTGTATGCAATTTAACCTTTAGCTGGCTTCACAGTTTTATTTTCTGTCCTGCAAAATATAGAGACAAACATATTGTGCATGTTTTCTGTATCCGGCAAGGAGGTTTGTTTTTTTGTTTTTTGTTTTGTTTTTTTTTTGAATTGTTACACTATTTCAGTGCAGAACTGAAATGTGCAGGGGAAAATATAGCGTGGGGGTTGTAAGCATGGACTGTGGAGCCCATCAGCCTGGGTTCAGATCCTGCCTCCACTTCTCACTGTGTGACTCTGGGCAAATTTCCCAGATGGGAATGATAGTGGCACCTTGTTGGGGCTGTTGTGAGGATTAAAAGTGGCAGGATAGTGCTTGACCCACATTAATTAACACAGGAATGTCTGCTAGTGCTGTCTCATTTACTATAGAGTTACATATTTACATAATTAGAGTTAAAAGCTGGATTCACTGCAAAGTCCACTCACCTTAGAGAACATGTGACCCTGTCAACCACTGAGTCTGAGACCAGGACTTCAAAAGGCACGTGGTGGAGGGGGTGCTCGTAGCGGATTCTGAGGGAGTTTGGAGGAAGCAGCGATTTTCACTCGGCTTCCCCCGCCTGCCATCCTCATTGTCAGACCCATGTCATGAGAGACCCAAAGGTCCCCTCCCGCTCCCCCGCCCCCTGAAACTCACCGTTTCCCCACATGGTCCTGCAGACACCTCGGCGTGGTCCCACGGAGTTCCTCTCGTAACAAGAACCCCAAAGCTTGTTCTTCCTGTGGCGTACAAAACACCTCCGCCGAGAAAACTTGATTTTGCCGGAGGAACCTTGTCTGTTTCTGCCTGACACGACCCATTCCAAAGGGTTGTAACTCCTTCAGAGATGGTTCTGAAGCTGGCTCTGAAGCCACAGCGGGGAGCACCCAGGGAGGCCGCAGACAGCAGCCTGATAACTCTTGCCTGTGGACACAGATAAAGTGCTTTATCTGGCCGCAAATTAGATAATCCCCAGAGAAGCACTTCCGGGATGGCCAAACTCATTTAACCTTTTTCACCGCTTCTCCCAGCAGCACCTGTGGGTTGACAGGCATGCGAGCCACTCGATGACAAATGGGGACTTGTGTGTGGATGCTAAGCTGGGAGCCTGAGGTTGGTTGCCTCGGCTCCACAGATAGAAGCAAAACAATGATGATGATGATGATGATGATGATGATGATGATGATGATGTAAGAGCTCTGCTTGTAGAAATTTTTAAGATTCAGTTTACAATTAAGAAGGCTTGGGTTTGATTTCTAAGTTATTTTGTAGAAAACGTGGACCTATCCGTATGATATTTTTGAATGCACGCTGGGTTCATGTTGTTTGTAATCCTTGCTGTTTATCATTGTTTAGGGTCAAGGAGTAAAAAAGAACAGACGGCTTGCCTTGGAGCTGATGAAGAAAGCAGCTTCCAAGGTAACACTTTCGCATATTGTCAGAGGAAAACATTTGCACTACATACACCCACTCCAGAGAGAACAGGCCAGCCAAAGCCCCAAGGTAGAAGCGGAGTGGGGAGGGAGGGGTCGCCAGAATGGCAACAGTAGTCTTTTTTAGAGCTACACACACACAGAAACCTGCTTCAATGGGAACAGCAAAATTCAAAAGCCGTATTCACCTTCAGTCAATAGAACTCGGGCCAATTTTGTTTGAAGGCTAAAATTATAATCAAGGCTGCTCTGATAACAGGCAGCGGGGGCTCCTTGAAAGTAAATGGATATAAATGCCATTGAATTAGGAAAACCAAAAGCCTAATTCCGATGAAGGTTAACCCTGCCGTGCCCGTGCCTACTGGCTTCTCCGCACTTGAATAATGGGGCTGTTTATCAGGTTTATTACTGGGTTTAAAAATTGTTTTGCTTCTGTCACCATTTACTCTTCAGCATTGTCATCAAGAGCTATTTTCAACATAGCACTACAGAATAGAGGTTATAATGTCGCTTATGAGGGGGCACACATGCACACATACATCCATATACATATTCGTCTGTGCAGGCACATGCCCAATGCATGCGTATGCACACATGCACACTCCCGTGCATGCACACAGGCTTGCAAATAAATACATTTGTAGGAACCATTATAATGTTACAACCTGAACAGGCCCTTTAGAGCCCTTCTGCCTCTCAAATGTTGCTCCACCCCAAGGACACCCTGTCACAGACTTCGGACGTAACCAGGTGGGTCTTCCTCATTCGCTTTCTTCAGGGAACTCAGGACATTTCTGTGTTGTAGTTGGAGCTGGAGCGTGGAGGCAGAGAGCCACGAGGCTTTCCTCCGCCTGCGCTGTGTCAGGAGGGCGTATGTCCCAGGAGAAGGGGACCCACGGAAGTGCACCCTGGCGCCCGGCCCCGACACAAATTCCAGGGCAGATCTAGAACAGCAGCTGAATTTTGGTTGCGGAAGGCATTGCTTTCAGAGCACCCTGAAAACGGGACAGTGGCGGGGTTTCCTGGCAGGTGTGAAATTTGCATCTCTTTAGCCATTCTGGTGGTGAATTGGTGTCTGATGTGCTGTATTTTTGCATGTATTTTTAGCAGGGCTTAGATGAAGATTGAGGCAAATGCAGTTTTATGGCCTGGAGTAGTCACATCCTTGAAAGTGTTAAATGGTTCTCAGTCATCCACTGAGTGGGGAGTTACAAAGTGCCTGCTCTTTGTCAGGCACTGTGGTGAAGTTTACACGTAGTCTCATTTCTGGAATTAGCCAAAAATCACTTGGAGGCTAATCTGTCGACTGAGCAGTAAAGTCCAGAACAACAGAGGAGTACTTAAGAGATAAAACAAGATTTCCTGCAGGGCTCCTGAGCTAGGTCCAAATGCAGTTCCTGAAGGAGGTCTTTAGACGTTTTGAGTGATGACAGGTCCATTCGAATGAGCCGGTGGTCCCTGGAGGTAAGCACTGTGAAACCATTTGGATGTGTCCACTCTATGAGTTTGTTCCAGAGCCAGCTCTGGTCTCCTTGTAGGATGGCCTGGTCTGTTACGCCATTGAAACCTACTCATTCTGCAAGACCGATCGAGAGCCGGCCTTGCACCCGCTACGGCGCAGGGCTCAAGGAGAACGCTTCTGTGACTGGATCCATGGTGCTGCCCGTTCCCAGGTGTCAGCTCTTGGAAGCCTGCACATCCAAACCCTCCCGTCGATCCTTAGGGTGTTCGATTTGGGTTCCATTTTGTTGAGCATCGGCATTCAAAGGATAGCTTTCATTCATTCATCAAATACTTACTGAGCACTTACTCCATGCCAAGCACTAATGTTGGTGCTCAGGATACCAAACAAAGGTCCCTGCCCTCATGGAGCTTCTATTTGAATGGCCTTTGCTAGTTTTGTTCCCGGCGAGATGAAGAGACCTTGGTTTCAGTCAAGAGAGAAAGTGCAGCAAAGCACGCAGGAATTTGGCTGCAGCAAAAGCACACTCAGGACAGTGAAGCAAGGAAGGGCTTAGCGGAGAAGAAGCAACAGGAGGGCCCAGGCAGGGCAGCTGTCAGCTCACTGGAAAGTCAGAGAAATGGGGGCCTTGGAGTTCAGGGGATCCACCTGGGAGGAGCTGCCTAATGCTGCCCAGCGCTCCCTGGTTGCAAGTCTCCTGGGGACCCTTAGGGTTTAGCAGACACGTGCCTGTGGGAGAAGAGGAGGAGGAAGGGAATGGTGTGGGCATGCCCCCAGAGGGAGGGCGCGCACTGGGTCCTTTGTCTTGAGGGTTTTTATCTCTCCCTTGCATGTGGGAATCCTAGCGGGGGGGTTCCAGGGGAGGCCTCAGTAGACTATTCATCAACTTTCTAGGTGTTGTGGTCTCCACTGATTGGTCGGTGCCAGAGCAGGGGGTTATTAGTCACCACAGCTGGTCCTGAGGCAGCTGTGGCGTCACTTGTCTGGTTTTGCTACTTTTCTGGGCCTGGAGCTGAAATGCAATTGAGGCCTAGGTGTCATCTTTAGGAAGGAAAGGTCAGGGTTCTAAACCGCATGACAAGCAATATGCTAAGGAGGGGGATGGCTATCCTGCGGGCAAGATCCTTATTTGCCCAGTTTTGCCCATTAGGCACCCGGGGCTTTCCTGCACCTGACCCATGATCCTTGCTCTGCTCACACCTGCCTAACTGCCTACTACAGTCTCTTCCTCCTGGACTTCCCAGCACTTGGGTTCTAACACAAAGGCTAGGAGGTGTAGCCTTTAGGAGCTGCGAAGCCTGTAAAGGCTGCAGGCTGGGATCTTGGCATCTGTTGTTAAGGGACATGTGGTCTTCTCCTGTGAAAAGAGAGGTGAAGAGATTTGGTCCCACACCTAGGCGCTAACTCAACAGACCTCACAGATGCGAGGGCACTGTTTGCCCCTCGAGTCCTTCGCCCTGCTGGCTCTTGTGGGTCTGGCCAGAAGCGAGGAGTGAGCGCCAAATGCCCAGGTCGGCACACGCACGCCGGCAGGGCACCTGAGTCCTCAAGAGCAGACTGGAGGCGGTCAGTGGGAGCAGGTAGGGGCACCTGGGGAGAGCAGAGGAGGCCACCTTAGAGTGTGTATCAGCGAGGACAAGGAGGCGTGAGGCTGGACTCACATAAACCAGCGCTGCCCTGGTGCCAGCCCCAGGCTCAGACTCAGTCCTGCCACCCTCCTCCCTTCTCTCCCCTCCTCCCCTTCTGCCTCAGCTCCAACCTGGGATGCTAAGCAGTCACAGATCACCTGTACTTTGCAAGAAGGATGTCGCAGCTGCTTCCTTTGGAAGATTTGTTGGTGTTCAGGACAGAGTCGTCAACAGATGGTCAGACAGGTCACCTAGAAACCGTCCCCGCCAGGGCAGGTTTCAGGTCCCCGTTGCACCCGAGCGCTCATGGATGTCAGGGCGCTGTTGATACTGCAGGGCAATGAAAGGCTTTTGTAGACAAGGGCATCATGTCAGAGCCCAGAGGAGCTGAGCGGTGATTCGGGGGCCAGCATCACTGCCGCGCTGGAGGGCAGGCATCCCAGCAGCCACCACGGGAAATCCACCTGGGAGCGCTCCCAGGCGGTCTCCTGTGTTCCAGCTCTTAGCTTCTCTTTCATGCCACCTGCCCCCAAAAAAGGGACAGGAAAGGTTTCGTTCACACTCATGTAAATGCCTTCACAATAATTGATTCTCATTAGGTTTTGTGTTTTTTAAAAAAATTTCTTTCTTCTCGTTCTAAAATCCAGGGATTGCATCAGGCAGTCAATGGTCTGGGATGGTATTACCACAAATTCAAAAAAAATTATGCCAAAGCAGCAAAGTACTGGTTAAAAGCAGAAGAAATGGGGAACCCAGATGCTTCCTATAATCTCGGAGTCCTGTATTTGGATGGTGTTTTCCCAGGAGTTCCTGGAAGGAATCAAGTGAGTACAACTTGAAACACAATGGACAGCCAGTCGGTCACTTGTCCATGAAGTCCTTGTGAAGGTGTGCTGCGTGCCCTGCCCGGACAAAGCCTCGGGCCGGCACAGGCACCACCCGAAGACACGGACCATGTTCTCAAAAACCTGAGGGGTCCAGTCAGGAAGATAAGATAGTGAATGTAGCCAAGTGCCACGGGTATGCCAACTGATATGACCCAAACAGTTCTGGAAAGGGGAAAGGTTGAAGGCCAAAGCAGTCGGGAAGGCTTTTTGGAGGAGGGAGGCTTGCGCTAAGGAGGAGGGGGAGCTGATACAAGGTGAGAATAAGCAAGACACCAAGAGGAGGTGTAGAGATCAATCTTACTGGAAGAGAGCTGGGTTCAGATAGGATGGCCTGACATGAGAACAGATTTAAAAACAATGAAAACAACAGTGATCATCTTTAGTGCTTGTTGAGCACTTCCTCTGTGCCAGACACTCACAAAGGGTTTATATGCGCAGTCCCCTACCTCTGGATTTTTATTCTAAGCGGACTGTATTTTGGATTAAGAGCGGGAGCCTAGCCCAACACAGACAACTGGGAGACACTGGAATGCAGACCGGAACCTTCCTGGCTGAGCTGCGGGCCTCTGTTTTCAAAGAGACGCTGCCCCTGGCTGGTATCCTCTGTGACGGACCGGATTTGGCAAAGGGAGGCAGGACTGTATGATTATAGGCGCTTTTTTCGCTTGTTTGTTTCTAAAGGGAATGGGATTTAATGGCAGAAATCCACCATTGTTTTAAATCTGTCTGACTTCTAAATAAATAGTTCCTTTCCTTTTCACATACATACATACATACATACATATATACATCAATGGACTGTTACTAAGTCCATTTTGCAGAATAAGCAACCGGGGCTCTGAAAGGTATGAAACTTAGCATCATACACTTATTGGAGTCAGGATCTGGATCCCAATGTAACATGGAAGCTCCTCATTATTAATAATATTGATGATGATGATAATAATCTGAGCACGATTACTTTAACAAAATTCATTGAATGCCCACCCTATGCCAGGCCTTCTTCCAGGCCCTGGGATACAGCAGCAGACAAAATAGTCTCTGTTCTTAGGAAGCGTATATTCTTATGGGGAAGAAAGACAGTAAATTGTTAAATACATAATATGAGGATGTCATGGGGAAATGGAGGACAGGAAAGGTCGATATTGGGGGGTGCTGTTTTATAAGAGAGATCAGAGAAGGTCTCTGTAACAATGTGACATTGTATGGGCTCCTGAAGGAGTCTTGTGGATATCTGGGAGAACATTCCAGAAAGGGAACAGCCAGGGCAAAAGCTCTGAGAAAAAGCTCGCGGAACAGCAGGGCGGCCAGAGTGGCAGGAGCAGAAGCAGAGGAGATGGGGAGGCGGGCGATGAAGTCAGGGAGGCAGGTGCCCGGAAATAAATGGAACAACAAATTGATGTATTTTTTCCTCTCTCTCAAAAAAAAAATCAATAAATAAAAATTAAAATAAAGAAAAATCAGTTAGCTGCCTCAGAAAAATAATAGTAATCAGCGGAACATATGCGTGTCCCAGCATTTCATTTTTTTCCCTCTGCTTCTCTCTGACTACATGCGGCGCTGTGTTTTCCCTGTGCATTGCAAACATCCTCCCACACATCTGGGAGTGTGGTTTTTTATTGTCACTTTCTAATTCTCACCTTCCTTTTGGAAATGCGGGTTTTGTGCATGAGTTTAAAGGAAGGTCTTAAGCAAGGTTAGGAGAGCAAACGCCTGCGTTTTCACCTGGCGTGACTTCTGATGCAGTCTTCTGTCTTGCTGGCAGGGGTTACATGAGGATGAAATGGGATGACAGTGATATTCGTGGTTACATGTTGTCTCACTTGTTGGGCAGGCCTCATCAACAGGATAGTTGGGCTCGGGGGTATCCCATCCAGAGGCTGATGTCTGTGATTGGCTGTCTTCCTTGACTCGCCTTGGTTTCCTTAAAGATATCAGAAGGTATAAGCCTCTTATACCATGCTGGCTCTGCTGAAACCAGCCCAGCCAGGAGGACTCCTCACAAGGGAGAGTGACGTTGGTTCATCTCTTCTCTTTACAGACTTTAGCTGGTGAATATTTCCATAAGGCTGCACAAGGCGGACACATCGAAGGGACCTTGTGGTGTTCTCTCTACTATATAACAGGCAACCTGGAGACGTTCCCTAGAGACCCTGAGAAGGCTGTTGTGTAAGCATCTATCAGATGTTGTGTATGAAGGAAAAGCCATCTACAGCGGTCCCCCCTTCTCCTTGGGGGATATGTCTCAAGACCCCCAGTGGATGACTGAAACTATACGTAATACCGAACCGTGTACAAACTGTGTCTTTTCCTATACATACAGACCTTTTCATTTAAAGGAAGCACTTTATGGCTTCTTTTTGGCATATCTGAATTGCCAGCACCGCTACTCTTGTGCTTTGAGGTCATTACTAATCAAATATTTTTTTTAATTATTCTATCTCCCATTTCATTAGCTTGTTATATATTCTTATAATATTGTTGTAGTGGTTGTAAATCTAACGATTACAATAGGCTAGTTCATTATTATTAATTACTATTTTTAATAATTATTCTTAAGGATTTAGAATAATTATTAAAAATTACCCTCCAGGATAAATTAGAGAGCTAAGAGGGAAACCTTATTAAAAATAAGTAAAAATGTTTTAATGAAGTACTAGAATTCTTCATAAAGATTATCTTTTCCAAGGAGAAAGAATTTAGATATACAAATTGATAGTCACAGGATATAAAGCACAGCAAGGGAATATAGTCAGTAATGTTGGATTAACTATGTGCGGTGCCGGATGGGTGCTTGAAATATAGGGGGAACACTTCGTGAAGTATATGATTGTCCAGCCACCATGCTGTACACCTGAAACTGATACAAAATAATATTGAATGTGAACTGTAATTAAAAATAAAATTTAAAAAAGTACCCAATGTTATAAAATCCCCATTCCAAAACAAAGGTAGGACAAGAAAATTAATATCAATTAATTACCATAAAGATATCAAAAAAAGGTTATCTTTTCCTGTATTGGTGGAATTGTTCATTAGGAACCTTTCATTATTTTGGTTCCATAAACGGACAACTCCTCAGCATTGCCAAGCTCACAAAATGCCTCCTTCTTTACCTTCTTAATATTCAGTTCTGGTTTGTTGCTCTATAAAAATTCTAACAAGCAAAATATTCCCCAGGTGGGATTTATTGAAATCATATGAAGAAAAAAGCAATTATTTAATTTGCCACAGTTTGGATATTTTTCTCTTCCCTTTCCTTTTCAGATGGGCAAAGCACATTGCAGAGAAAAATGGCTACTTGGGCCACGTCATTCGCAAAGGCCTCAACGCCTACCTGGAGGGCTCGTGGTAAGCTCGGGCCCCGCGTTTCTGTGAACTTTCTCAGCCCTCACCTTTCAATCTGTCACTGCAGTCTTATGAGATGGAGCTTAAAATGCAACCAAAAAAGCAATTTGCAGGGAAATCACGGCCTCTCAGTAATACTATTCAGAGTATCACTGACTGATTGGCTGTTGATTGGAAAACATAGCAATTCCATGTTTAATTATACACAAAAATTAGTTCTCTAGGGGAAGCATTCACGTTCATCAAGTTGAGAGACACATGAATGTGTTGACTTCTCTTTCCTTCAAGCTTGTTTCTCTTGGTTTCAGAGTCTAAACACACCACAGGGGATCTTAGTCAACCCTCTGCTTCTGGCTGGCAGGTCATAAAGGTCCAGGATTTTCACCGTGTTTGTGGGAAGAAGAGAATTAGGGCTCAGTCTACATCCTTCCGTAGATATTCCATCGCATTTTCCGTGGCCAGGAGCCTAGGACTGCAGGAAGTCTCTCACACGACCTCTGATATCACAGCCAAACAGACTCCCCATCCTAACCTTCTTCTGATGGAGTCAGCAAATCTCATCCTGCACTCTGGGGTGAAGAACACCCCATGGCAGTGTACATGGGGACTTCAAATTCTCCCCATGTGCTGCTCCTTGATTTTCTGAAACAGGGCACACCTCTCCCAACTCTCCCGGACTTCATCTTTTTATCTTCTTCTGTCAGTTCTAGCACTTCGTCTTACTTTTCCCTTGGGCTACATTTTCTTGGCTGGTTTATTGCCTAAATGATCTGGATATTTCAGTAATAACTACAAAGGCTATGCAAATCAGCACATATTTCTTCGGAACACTGCCTCAAAGACATTAGACCAGGCTTAACATCGATCATACTCTGATCGGAACCTTAATTAAAAAATTTCAATATAAGCCCAAAAGAATGCCGTTTTCTCCTTTGGACCATGGGTGCCCACATAATCAACAGAGAGAGTCTCAGTGATGGAGAATCCGAAATTAGATAATGCAGGGGAAATAAGCCCAGTGAAAAAAGCACCAAATAAAAATGTTTATAATTAACATCCTGTGAAAGTCTATTGTCTGTGGCCTCATTTTGCACAATAGGAAAGAAATTTTTAATGAAATTATTATTTACTAATTGATATACCTTACAATTTCGGTGCTGTTTTATCTTGCTGAACTCCCAAATTTGACGTGAACTAATCTCTATTCTTACCTTCCAAACTTGCCGCCCTTTGCTCCTCACAAGCTTCTCATTGGGAACTAAACATTCAAATACCAAAGGGCGTACATGCGGGGCTTTCCCAAAGGGAGAGCACATCTGTAAACAGCCCCTGACACACAGACACTCACACGCCACAATGTCTGACACTTTTTCCCATAAAGAGGTGACCTGTCGGTAGCTTAGCTTTTCTGCCTGCTTTTGAATTTAACATTACCTTAACATTTAAAAATATGCTGTGAAAGTGAAAATGAATTAAGATTTTTGTGGCCTGGTGTCTTTCTTAGAATATTGAGTCACAAGATCTTGATTTGCCGGGTGGGGGGGGGGCGGGTAGGGGAGGGGATTGGGGGGATGAATTGTGTCCTACACTGTTGTGAGTTAGGAGTTGGGATTCAGTTCAGCGGGTTTGACTGAGTCCATCCAGGCAGACACCTTGCCATAAGCTGCAGGGGGTATCAACAAGGAGGGCAGGGGGTAGTTTGCCGCCTCCTCTCTTCTTCATGCTGAGCTACCTGCGGTTTCTCACGCTGCCTGTGTTCTGTCTGACCCCCGGGCCTTTGCCCTTGCCCGAAGTCTTGCCTGACTCCTCACTCCCTTTGGTCCTTCCGTGGGTCACGAGTGCTCTTTACTTGTTGATTGCCCTGTGAATTGTATCCCAGTGCCCAGCACCTGGGAAGTGCTCAAAAACTATTGAGTGGATGAACTTAGGCAAGTAGAACAAACATAACTTAAGTACCATGAACAGTATATAAAAGCACATTGTGGATTCTGAGGAGGAAAAGACGCTATCTGGTTTGGGGCACTTAGGATGGCCTTTGTGATGGAGGCCTTGAGGGATGGGTGGAATGTCCTCTTATCCACGCAGGGATCAGAGTTTCTTGTGAAGGGAATGATGGAACAAAAGCATAGAGAGAGGAAAATTCTGGGACTGTCTAGGCCACCCAGTTTGCCTTGAGGGTACGATTTGTAAAAGGGAGTCATATATAACAAGACCAAAGAGGTACTACTTTATGGAGTTTTGAGTGGAAGGTTATGTCTTTTTACTGAATCCGTGGTGCAGCAAGGAGCCACTCATAGTTTTGGGAGAGGGTAGTGGCCTGACAGAGCTCGGCTCCGAGATGCTTAACCAAACCTCTGAATAATGATGAAGAGAAGGGGACCCTGAAAGAATCCAGGTAAAAGGAGCTGAGCGTTTGGGTTGGAGAGGTGGCATGAGCCAGTTGAGTTTTTTCTCTTCTTTTGTCCTATGGTACATACAAAATAATGTGATACATATGTACGTTCCCAAGCGTAACAATAAAACGAACACTGGTAAACCTGCCTCCCTACTTATGAAAAGGAACCCCTGGAGCCCCCTGCGTTGTAGGTCCCTCCCAGATTAAATCTGCCCCCACCCGCAGCACCTGGAAGTAACCGGCATCCCAAATCCTGCTCTTTATGGTTTTTGCTATTCATGGGTATATTCCTAAACAATACATTTAGTTTGGCTTGTTTCTGAGGTTTCTATTATTAGAATATTATCATACAGGAATCTTCAGCTGCTCTTGTCACTTAACATTATGTTTCTGCGATTCATATATTTTGATGTGTGTCCCTGTAGGTCGTTCATTTTCATTGCTATCATATACCACAGTTTACTTACCAGTTCTCATATGAGCACATATTTAGGTTGTTACGGAATTTTTTTAAATCCTCGCCCGAGGATATGTCTATTGATTTGAGAGAGAGAGAAAGGGAGAGGGGGAGAGAGAGAAACATCAATGTGAGAAAGAAACATCCACCAGTTGCCTCCTGTTGCTGCCTCCACCAGGAATCAAACCAGCAACCTTTTTAGTGTATGGGATGATGCTCCAACAATTGAGCGCTTGGACCAAGGCCCCACTTTTTGGTTTTTAAGAAGAATGTGGACATGAACATTTTAACGGATATCCTTACCCTCAGAGGAAGAGTTTCTCAGAAATATAAACTTAGGAGTAGGGTCACATGTTGGACTTTACAAGACAATACCAATTGCACCCTGGCTGGTGTGGTCAGTGGACTGAGCGGTGGCCTGCAAACCAAAAGGTTGCCAGTCTGATTTCTGGTTGAAGCACATGCCTGGGTTGCAGGCCCGGTCCCCGGTTGGGGGCAAACGAGAGGCAACCAGTCTATGTGTCTCTCGCACATCTGAGTCTGAGTGTTTCTTTCCCTCTCTTTCTCCCTCCCCCTCTCACTAAAAATAAATAAGTAAAATCTTTTAAAAAAATAAATTAAAAAAAATTTTTAAATGATAATGCCAGTTGTTCTCGAAAATAATCTCACCAGTTTACTCTCCTGCCAATCCTCTATACATTTCTGTTTCTTCATATCCTTGCCAGTCTTGATGCTGGTGCTAAAATATTGTTAAAGATAAGTCTCAGTCTGAAGTTGAGGCCTTTCCATATCAATTCAAAGGAACATCTAGTACCCACTACAATGGGAAATTTTTGTCAAAATATATTCGAGGCCTAGGGCTTTCATCTCTCCGAGCCCCCAAACCTGCCCCAGGGGTTAACTAGGAAATATAAGAGCGTGGCCTCCCACAATATCTCTTTTTTGGGTACCATCTATTTTGCTGCAACAGAACTAAATCATCCATCAATGTCCGAAGTCCATCCCCTTTCTACATTTTTTTTTGTGAGTGAATTTATTCTGGACGCTATTTTCAAATTACACATGCCAGTTTGATGAGCTGGTGCTTTTCTGTGTCACTCCAAGATTTGTATGGTATTGTTTAAAATAGGAGTGTGTTTGAGAAGAGAGCTTTTGCTGTATAGGCATAATGCGGAAGAAAACGTTGTCGTGCCTGAGGCTGTCCTCGGACACTGGGAGAAATCAGCCAAGGAGAGGCCGGCTGTCACGTTCCATTTCTCTCTGCCTTAGCCCTGCCTGTGTTTTATCTATGAACATGTGTTTTCACATGTTCATATGTGAATGTACCCCAAATACCTAACCCTGGATGTTTGCCCGACTATGGTGGGCTTGAAGCAGGACAAGTAGGCATGCTGAGTTCCGGTTGAAAGAGATTCACCTTTTGGCAATAGAACAGGGGTGCCAAACTTCACCAAGACCCCTGAATCACTTTTCATCCTTCCAGTTTGAGCCACTTCAGCCATTGTTAGAAAGGAGCACAGAGAAAATAATGTAATTGAGAACCTGCTCAGAGGCAGTAAGATTCACAAATCACGGCCAGCCACCCAAGGATTGGTTAAAACATCATTAGGAGAGTTCTGTAAATGCACATGCTGACTTTGAAGTGGGAGGGTAGCAAGTGTGTCCCTCACCTCGTTCTTTACTCTAAATTTCCTCCTCCCCACCTCCGCCTCACCCCCCCCCACCCCCCGCCAGTAGAATAACTGTCTTCGGGGGCAGTTGCACTTGAGTGCATTGGAAATAAAACTAGAAGCTCAGATTGGCTTCCTAAACCTTGAGGAAATTTCTGGAAGGGCAGTACAGTTTTGTGTCATGTTTTGAGGCTTCCTGCACAGAGCAAACTCTGAGAAAATGATTGTCCCATGAATAGGAGTACTGAAATATCTGTAATTAATACTTTCAGGCAGCTTCTGTTGAAACACAAGTAAGACCCAAACGCTGGGAGGGAGGCTGACTGTGGACAGGGTTTCTGCAGAGATGGCGTGTCTCAGAAGTCCTAATGAGCTGAGGAAGTTGGGTCTGCAGTGTTTGAAGCCTCGCCCGTAGTTCACTCTTTGTTATATGAAAATCGATGGCGGTGGAATCAGAGTGCGCGGGCCTCTGGTGATTGCCTCTGCAAGATGGAAGACAGAGGTGGATGTCTGTTCAGTACTTCTATTAACATCGATGTTTGCAGACATCTCTTTTTGATGGATTACCGTGCTTCTTCAAAGGAAATGCAGAAGGATTCTATGAAATTTCCTCCCGACCTATAAAGTAATTGGACAGTGAAAGCCTTTCTATAAAACTTGTTTACCCCATCCCTCCACCAGCACCAAAGTAGCTTCAGAAATGAGGTGCTGTCTTCATAAAGTTTATCATAGTGACTCGGATTTGCAGGAGGGTCAACCTCGTGCCCCCAACCCCTGCCACAAATTCTAATAGTCTACTAGTACCTGACTGCTGTCTGAGGGAAACTCATTTTGTTACATTTTAATAGCAGGAGTCACAGTCCATGCCATCACATGTGGCAGCAGAAGGAGCCAGCTCGATACTTGACCGTGGGCTGGCGAGTGCACACCATCTCGTTCCCTCATTCAGCCCCTGGGGAGACGGAGGCACCGGTGCAAGCCTGAGTGTCTCAGAAGACACCTGAGATTGCAAGTCCTTGGGAGCAGGACCTTATTATTGCAGAATGGTGGGGACTTTGTGCTGGGCCTTTCGCACGTTTTCAGTCTGATCTGAGGACTCGTCACCAGACATGTTGTTTGCAGTCCATGGAGGAAAATGCTTGTGTGTCTTCCATGGCGGTGTTTCGGCTACAGCGTGGCCTTGTTAGCTGACTTGCCAATGCAGGGGACACTGCTTCCCAGCCTCGTGTCTCTTAAGAATGAGTCATGGCTAATTGGTTGGCTGCCTTGGGCGTCTTGGAGACCAAGAATCAGCTCACTCAGCAGCCGCATGGCCCATGGCCTGCAGTGTGTCTGACTGAAGGTCTGCTGTTCTAATTTGACTCCCCGGTCACCTCTCTCTGTCCCCAAGGGATGGTCTGCCAGAAGCTGCTTTAGCAGTGCAGAAAAGGTGATTTCAGAATCTGCTTCCCTTACCCCCCTTAACCCACCCGTCCCCACACTTCCTTAAAGCACTTCCTATGTGGGGCAAAAATTACGGGAGAGTTCTTAATGTCAACTACTTTCAAAACAACTTTTTATGGTTAAAATAAATTTCTACTCATAAATTGGGTGACACAAAGAAAATGGAGAAAATCAGATCAGTCAAAAGTAAAGCATAAAAATGATTTGCATTCTCACCACCTAGAAATAAGTACTGTTAGCATTTTGGAAGATAATTTTCGTGCATGTATTTATCTGCGTATGTATTTGTTTTTCTTTTTTTGTTTCTGTTATACAAAAATGGAATTGCCCTGTTTTTTATTCTGCCTATTTTTTTCACTGAGTAGATAATTTTGCATAGGCATCTTTCTACAATTTTTAATACTCTTCTGTGTCATTTTTCATGGCCTCATCTGAAAGTGGCTACACCGTGAGTTAATTTAAATAGCCACTGATTTTCAGATATTTAAGTTCTTACCAGTTTCGTTTTTTTTTTTTTTTCCATTCATATAAGAAGCTCTGCCATAAACTCTTGCCACGGAATCTTTGCGTGTCCCTGATTGTTTCTTTAGAATAAACCCTCACAGGGAGAACTGTTGGGCAAGCAGTCTGTGCATTCGTAAGACTCCCCACGTTGGGCCATTGCATTAACCAGCCCTCCGACTAGCAGTGGTTGTGGGAATCCACGTCTCTCCATTCCCTGAGCTCTTGCCATGACTGGTATTATGAGTCGTGTGCCAACCTTTCAACAGATGACAAGTGGTCTCATTGTTTGCAGTCTTCGGTTACTAGTGGTGTTGAGCTATTATTTATTCAGATGTGTTCCTGGCCCTTGTAAACTGCCTCTCCTTTGCCAAACTTCTAATGTAGCACAAAAGCTCAGCTTTAATTAAGCTTGTTCAGAATCCTAAACCCCATAAAGCCTTTCACAAAACAGAGGACTTGAAGGCACAGGGCCCTTTTTTTTTTTTTTTTTTTTAAATACTGCTATCTCTTCTAAGGAGGATGGAAGGATGCGAGAACCCAGCTGACATACCATTCAGCCAGTAGAGGTAGCTGTTGTATTAACTAGCTCCCAACCTTATCTGTCAGTTCAGCCTTTAAGGGAGAAAATAAATCAGCGCATGCAGTATTTTTAACAACAGTATTTTTTTTAAAACAAACTCATGGTTTTGTGGTTTTTGGAAAACTGCTTATTGTGTGTCCTTATGTTTGACTATCAGGTTCTCTGTGAATATTAGTAAAAGCCCCTATATGAAATTTATTATTAATCATCTATTTTTAGGCACGAAGCTTTGCTGTATTATGTGTTAGCAGCAGAAACTGGAATTGAAGTGTCACAGACAAATTTAGCACACATCTGTGAGGAGAGGCCCGTAAGTAAATGTATTCTTCTCGGAATAGACGCTCTAAGGTTAAGGATGATGGATTGGGGTTTTAGGGAAGCAAAATTAGTCACTCGGCCGAAATATTAATGAATTAACTTTTTCTCCCCTTTCACCCCCTTAGGACCTGGCCGAGAGATACTTGGGTGTTAATTGTGTTTGGAGATACTATAATTTCTCTGTTTTTCAAATCGATGCTCCTTCATTTGGTATGTATAGAAAAACGGGTGCTAAAATGAAGCATTGGAGGCTTTTAATCTTTAGTAACAGGAAGCATCTAACGGCTTTGAATGCAGTGTGGTATTTCAAAACAATTAGGAGAGAGTGAAAAATCTCTGCTATTAACATCATGACTAAACTCTGCTCTTTGCCTCACGCTGTGGCTGCCTCCTCACCCATTGGCCATTGTTGCCTTGACCCACCATTTCTTGGGTTTGTGAGCATCCAAGAGAGAAAGCTATTATGGAGAGATCCTCTGAGCCAGTGCCCTTTTGCTCTCAGATGGGTTCTCTGTCTTCCCCTCTGCTCTGCTCTGTATGGTAGGCGGCTACCAGCAGGAACTACAGTTCCCAGACTTCTTGGCTCTGGGGCTTCTGATTAGTTTCAGTCAATGGGAGGCTCTGGCAGGAGACTGCAGGATGGGGCAGTGGAGGAGCCCAGGTATTTCTGTCCTCTCTCGGCTTTGGGCTGTGTCTCTGGCAGTGGCTGCAGTTCCGTGGTCCCAGCTCCCTCCTGGCAGTCCGCACTCTGTGGTCGCCGCCGAGCCTTGGCCCAGGGATGGCAGTAGCTTCCTGGGCTGCTCATGCCTGGGTTGCCATTTGCCTTTTCAGCTCTTCCAACACCCCGGTCACCCCTTCCCAGTGCGGAAATCCCTCTTTTAACTACCTGACATGGACTATTGTTCTGAATGGATAGTGAGTGATACATACATCATTTTTTTAAAAAAGATTTTATTTATTTTATTGTTTTAGAGAGAGGGGAAGGAAGGGAGAAGAAGAGGGAGAGAAACATTGATATGTGAGAGAAACATCAATCAGTTGTCTCTCGCACACCCCCACCCAGGAACCTGGCCCACAATTCAGCATGTGCCCCAACAGGGAATCGAACTGGAAATCTTTTGGTTTGTAGGATGGTGCCCAATCCACTGAGCCACACTAGTCAGAGTAATATGTACATTCTTAAACAAAACTTTTTCCTCAAAACAAAAATAAAATACATGGCTTAAATAGAGTAAAGAAGTACTCTTTAGTCATCAAACATAGGCAGCAAAATTTCAGATGTGAAATGAAGTGCCCCCAGCCCCTTGGTTGATTGGGCTGCCATGCTCACAGATAGATCTATTCCGGAGAGCTACCAAGCAAAGCCAGAAAATGCGTCTGGGAATGTGGGTACTCAGCAGAAAAGCCTTTTTCTTTTTTCTTCCCTAGTGACACATGAAAAAATAAAAACCCTAAAGATGTTCTGTATTAGGATTCTGGTAGGAAAACCTCTCAGTCATGGGAATGAGCCAATCATTTAAAATGTCATTCTGAAATAAAACCACTTGACAAATGCATCTGTGCCTTTTGTCCTGCAGCATATTTGAAAATGGGAGACCTTTACTACTATGGCCACCAAAACGAGTCACAAGACCTTGAATTGTCTGTACAGATGTATGCCCAAGCAGCAGTGGATGGAGACTCACAGGTAAACAACAAGAGCAAGAACATCAGAAGTGAGTTCTTGGTGGTGCCCCATTTGTGAGGTCGCAAGGCCCAGAGTTCTCACCAGCTCTCTGCCTATGTGTGCTTCCCAGAATACAAAGTCATTTCTCACCCATTTTCCCAAGTCCCTCATGAAGACCCTGTGAGGCCACTAATCGTAATGGCAAACCTTTATTGAGCTCCTACTATATGTCCCCCGCCATTCTCACAGCAATCTCATGGGGGTGGGGACTATAATATCCAGTTTATAACAGAGGATACGAAGACTCTGACAAGGTGATACATTGCTCAAGGCCAAACAATCAGGTAGTGGGTGAAGGAGCCAGAGCTTCTGGCTCCAAGCCCAGGTGTCTTTCTACTGGATTCCATCAAACAAACTCACTAGGTGGAAACTCAAAAAATTGGAAGTGTGGTCAACATGGAAGTGGTCTTCTTGTACAGATGAGCCAACACTTCAATGATAGGCTTTCACTCTCAGTGACTTTTTCTGAAAACTTATTTTGGAATATTTTAAGATCTATAGAAAAGTAGCCAAAAGAATCCAAGAGAGTTGCTGTATACACTTCATTTGGCTTCCCCTAATGTGAGTATCTTGCATGGCCACAATTCCGTTATCAAACTATGAGGTCCACCTTGGTTCAGAGCCATAAGGTACACTTCCAACTTTGTTTGGATTTCACTGGTTTTTCCACTAAAGTCCTTTCTCCATTCCAGGATCCCACATTGCATTTAGTTGTCATATTTCTTCAGTCTTCTTCAATCTGTAACAGTTCCTCAGTCTTTCCTTGTTTTTCATGACCTTGATGCTTTTGGAGAATATTAACCAGCCAAGTGGACTGTAGCATGTCCCTCGATTTGGGTCTGGCATCTGTTTTCTTGAGCAGATTGAGATTATGCACTTGGGGCAAGCAGAGCACGAAAGCACTCTGTCCTCATTGTACCCTAGGAGGTGCACAGATGTCTGGTTGTTGGTGAGCTTGATCTCAATCACTCGGTGAAGGTGGTTTCTGCTGGGTTTCTCCCCTGTAAAGCTAATACATTTCCCTTTCTATTTAGAGATATCTTGGGGAGAGAGTTTGCAACTACGCAAATATCTTACTTCTCAAACTGCTACTACTAATTTTAGTATCCTTTGATAGATCTTGCAACAATTAGTGTATTAACGATGAATCTCTATTTCTCTCATTTCCTGTACATTTGCTAATCAGAATTCTCTTGTGCCGATCTCAGAATCATTTTCACAATGGAAGCTGGAATAGTTGTTACCCGCTTAGGTTCCTGGTGTTGGAAACTCGTCCCTGTATTAGTCTTGTCTTTTCTTTTTTTTTTCAGGAGGTGCTACATCAGAGTCTTTCTTTACCTGGGCTAAAGTCCCTTATCTCTCTCACTTCATAGCTATTTGTATATGGCAAGTCACTAAATCACTGGGTCTTCGTTTCCTCATTTGTGAACTGGGAACAATAATAACATCAGCCTCTGAGTTTATGAGATGTTTGATGGAAAAGCACTGAGCCCAGCAGTGGCCATGATCTATTCTATTATCATTTCTTCTGGAATGAAACACGAATTGGTGCCAAAAGGATTTGCTATAGAGCCAAACTCCATTAGATGGTATCTGTTGATACTAAAAATTAAGTCCAGACCATTTTTTTTCAATCTGATTTTTATCACTCGGAAAGATAATGTTATAAAAACATTAGAAGATCATTTTAAAAGAAAAACATCATTCCATGGCAGAGGCATTACACCTTCTTGTCTGCATGTTCTTTTCAGTCCTTGCCACAGGCAGATGTACCTCTGGAATGCTGACTGCTGCGCATGCACCATTCTTTTCACATGCTGTAGGAATATGTGCATTTTACTGCACAGTTGATGTAATTGTTACTCTTAACCACTTCCCATATTCTGTTGAGCTAATAGACTGTAATGTATTAAGCTTTATCTTATTTGGTAGACATTTATTATTTGTCTGCTAATTTAATCATTAATTTGGCATATTTATTCAGCCCTGCATGTCTAAGACACTGCCTAGTGGTGGGAACATAAAATTAAAAAATAGACAGTAGTCTTGCCTTCATGGGATTATAGCCTATAAAGGAAGATGAGGAGGTCCTTCCCTATTGGGTCGTAATCATAGCTGGTGCTACAATGAACATTTTCATATTTCCATCTTTTATCTCCATTTGAATAATTTCTTTATAATCTGAGGGATAGTATTACTAAGTCAAGCAATCTAAATGGTTTTATGGCTACCTAATAATAATAATTTATTGCTGATTTGCTTTCTGAAAGGATTTTCCAATTAATACATCACCAAGCAATGGTTAAGTGTAAGAGAGTAACTGAATTCATGTCTGCACTGGATGTTCTCATGACTTAATTTTGCTAATTGAGTAATTTGAAGTTGATATTTCTTTGTTGCTTTGAATTGCATTTACTTGATTTCCAGTGGGAAGGGACATATACTTGTCTATGATAATTTACTCTTCTTATTTTTATGTGAATTCTCTGTGCTTATTCTTTGCCTATTGATCTATTGGAGCTCTGATACTTTTAAAAATTTAAATCACAATTAGTTTTTTTTATACATTTGCCTAGTAGATAATGAACCTTAAGCTATTACATTGCATATAAATATTCCCTTAGTCTAGCTTCTCATTTATTTTAATCTTATTTTTCCATCCTTCAGAGACTTTAAATTTTTTTATGGTACCTTTTTGCTTTTCTTGTAATATGAGAAGGTTTAAGAGTACCTTCTTTTCAAAGCGTGGAGAAATATTCTATTTTTTGCATGTGTGTGCACATCTTAAAGATACTTAATGCTTCCATCTATTTGGAGGTTATTTGGCAGCATGGTAGAGGTTAAGACTGGAGACCCTGGGCCTTGTCTGCTTTCATTTGCATCCCAGCTCTGCTCCTTTCCAGCTGTGTGACCCTGGGCAAATTCCTTAACCTCTCTGCTCCTCAGTTTCCTTATCTATAACATGAGGAAGGTAATAGTACCTATCTCAATTTGTTGTTACGAATATTCAGTGAATATGTAAAAACCAAAGCAATGTCTCACATAGAGTAAGCACCCAGAAAATACTAGCTGCTGTTATTTTTAATCATGAATATTGCATGGGATGCTTGTGAGAATCCTGGCGTGCACAGCCGGGCAGAGATGATTTTCATTGAGATTGCTGTCAGTGGCAACCGAAAGGAAAGACCAGAAGGAGAACATGTCATTAGAATGTGACCATGAGCTCCTTGAAGAGCAATAGTCCAGTGAAATCTGTAAAGCCCTAATGCTAAGTAAGGTCATCTTTGGTTTATTTCTTGGTCTGGCCACATGCTCAGCTCATAATAGGCAATGCACCTCCTCTAGGTAGTACAATAGCTCCCATCCTTGACAAAACACCTCTACTTTCCGCTCCTAACTGCGTTATTTTACTGGACCCTCACAGCCCAATGAGGCAGCTCCTACCTCTGAGGGTTAAGAACAAGGTGTATAAGGAATACGTGAGGAATTGTACCAGGGTGGAGGTCTGTGCCAGGAAGAATCGCGAGGCTCCCTACGTTAGAATGTCAGTCATCTGTAGCACCTCCAGCCACAAAAACACATTTTGGTAGGTTTCTGAGATGCTGATGGTGACCCAAAACATAGTCATAAGTGATGGACATGGCCTTCGACACAGCGTTCTGGTTCTGTTGGTAACACAGGGCATGTTTTCCAGCAAGTTCTGTTTTGGAGAGTGAGCAGGAAAGGACAGATCCACCGGTTGACTGGCTTCTGAGCAGATGGGACCCAGCATCCTCTGAAAGCCTCCTGGTTCTCCTGCAAATAAATTTCTCAGATGCATATATTTAGGCAAACAATTTATCAATGAAGATGACAAAACCATCTGGCTCTAGGGACTGAAGAAAGTATCTAGAGGTTGTAAAAGTTTACATTGTGATGAAGGGTGTGTGTCTGGGTTTTATTATAAGGAGTTGATGAAGTTGTTCTGTGGCTTGTTTCCAGGGATTTTTTAACCTGGCCCTGCTAATTGAGGAAGGTGCTATAATCCCACATCACATTTTGGATTTCTTGGAAATTGACCCAACTCTCCATTCGAATAACATCTCCATCCTCCAGGAACTGTACGAAAGGTGAGTTCAGAGCCTCTTTCACACTGTGGAACCTGGATGCTGTTGACATCTTGCTTAAGGTTAGCCTTACTTTTATTTTGTAACGTCACTTGTTATTAAGAGGGCTCAGGGCTTGTTTTCATTAAAGAACACTCAGCTGGACCCAAACTTACTTCATTTTCTAGCTTCTAAGGCTTAAGGTATAGAATAAACTTGATCCGAAGTTAAGGTGCTGACCAAGGTTTTCCTCAGGAATGGGAAAAGTAATGCATCTGATTAGACCACGCTTTTCTGCAAGACAGGGAGACATTCTGATGTCTGGACTTTGGACAGACACTTAGACAGAGGTATTGCTCTGCCAGCCCCCATGCCTCAGGGACCTCCTTGGCCTTTTGGCTTTTTATTAAGGACAGTAGGGACATTTTCCTGAGATTTCTGGCGGGGTCCTACGATGTCAGGGCAGGCCTGAAACCCTGAGAACTGGCTTTCTTCCTTTGACTTTCATCTCAGGTGTGCCCCCTTGTCCTCAAGCAGAAGGAGGGTTGTTGAGATCCGATAGTGCTCGTTATGAGTGATGCCACCAAAGTTCGCTGACATGTCAAGATGCCCTGTGCCTTGTGTCTGCAGGTGCTGGAGCCACAGTAGCGAGGAGTCCCTCAGCCCCTGTGCCCTGGCCTGGCTCTACCTTCACTTCCGGCTCATCTGGGGTGCTGTCCTGCACTCTGCTCTGGTAGGTGTCCTCTCCTGCCAGCCCTGCCTCTGTGGTCCCAGGTCCTGTCCGTCACCTGACACGTGCTTCTGGTGTTTGCAGACCTACTTCCTGGGAACCTTCCTGCTGTCTGTGCTGATCGCCTGGACGCTGCAGTATTTCCAGTCTATCTCAGGTAGAGAGTCCTACGAGGCCAGGGCAACATAAAGACGGAGCAGTCCTTTTCCCTTACCAGAAAAATCACCCTCTCCCTCCTCACGCCCTTGGCCATGCTCTTGCCTCTTGTTAGGATGGTCGTTCATGGGGCGGGAGTCCTCCTAGGGGCGTATCATAATATCTGGCTGATGGAAGCCCCTAATGACGTATACTTTTCAAAGGAAGCAGACTTTTTTAATAAGAAGCTTAAGAAATTGAACTGAAATGTCTTCTCCCATTGAAAATCTCTGCTAGCACAATTCCACCTACAGGTACCTGAAAACCCAGCTCCAAGGCCCCCTCCAGCGTGAGGTCTTACCCTATTTATTCCAGTCAAAGGATACCAAATCCAATAGGATGATAAACAAGCATGGTGATGAATACACCCAGCCACATGGATTCAGAGGGAGGGCCCCAGGAGGAGTGTAAAGTGAACGTTTATTTTAGTGTGGTTTCCACTAGTTACTGTTATTTTTCTGCACTACTGTAGGGCAGTAGCTAAGGACTTGGGCACCTCTGTCACTTCTATCTGGGCTGAGAGTCCAGGCCTGGCTACTTATGAGCTGTGTGACTTATGGCAAGTTAGTTCACCTTCCTGATTTTCCAATTTCTTACCAATTAAATGAGCTTATAATAGTAGCTACTTTCCAGGGATGTTAAAAGGGTTCAGTGGGAAAAAAAATACACACGACATCAAATCGCTATTTAAATCTTAGCTATCATATGTATTTGTCATGTAAAATCCTCTTGATAAATATTAGCTATTACATTTACCTCTCCTATTAGATTGTAATTGAGTCAGCGGAAGGCCTGTCATTTGTGATTTCACACTTAGTAGGTGCTCAAATTTGCAAACGTCTCTCTTGGAGGATTATAATTTCCCACCATCTGGGACGGCTGCAAAAGGACATAATCACTCATGAAGACCAACAGGGACCTTTGCAAATGGATCCATTAGGACGAGACGTGGCATTTGAGTATTCGCGCAGCCATTATTTGTGTTGCACAGAACAAAAAGCGAAAGGAGCACATTTCTCCTCAGATTTGGTGGCGAGACGGAGTCCCTGTTACAAGAGGCTAATGCGGCATCACTCCCCTCTGACTCACCTCGGGGGGTTGACAGGGAGCCATCAGACGCCCTTCCAGGCTTGATGCCCTGTGGTAGACACCAGCTTATAAATTTCCCTCATGCAAATTCTGCCCCATCCCAAAATTTGTTGCCAGGTATAGCCCATTTATTTTGCATCTTGTCAGTGGTTTCCATTTCAAATTATCTTTGTCATTTTTACTCTGTAGAAATATTGTTATGATTATTACAAATGCAATTCCGTTAGAGGAGCTGAAAATTGTCTTTATGATTTTATGCCAGCTGGTAGCCATGAAAATTCATGGGCTGGTGGAATTGCTTTTATCAGAAGTCGTCTCTTTTTCCCTTCCTGAGTCTTCATTATCAGTCCCTCCACATTCTTGTCTCGCTGTTCCTCCTGCCCTTTCATGTATTTCCCCTTCCCTGGGTAGCCTTTGCTCCTTCGCACATTTTCCTCATGGTTTTCAAACTCTTTCACTTGCTTCTTCCTAAACATCTCTCCCTCTCTGTTGACCAGCCTCAGAGAAGATCTGTATGGGATCTTAAAAATTATTTAATTCTCTGAAGAATTGAGACCAAAAGGATGAGGCGGCCTGCTCCTTAATCACAAAATAAAGCCCAAGAAAGGATGTAGGGTAGCAGAATTTAAAACTTTGCAGACTCACCATACTTGAAGACACTCCTTATCGTCTGTCTTCAACCTCTTCTGTTACCCCCTTACATAAGAAATACTTTGCAGCACATTTTTGGCACCCCAACATGCATGATAATTAACCTGCTTACATACATATTTTTTAAAGACTGCCCTAACAGCAATATAAAGGAGAAGTAAAAAGAAACTAATATCATAAAGTAATGTCTTTTTCTATATGTAAATTCGAGCCCTGCACTTCTTAATTTTAACGTGCTTGTGAATCACCCCGGGGAGCTTGTTAAGTGCAGGTTCTGATTCAGCAGGTCCAGGGCGGGCTCGGAGATTGACCAGCTCTGACAAGCTTTCAGGTAACACCCCTGCTGCTCCATGAGCCACACTTTGAGTCCTAAGGGCCAAGAAGGAAAAAAATAAATAAAGTCTCCACGTATTTACGTATTTCCAAAATGTGCCCCACAGTGGTGCCTGCCGGCCCTGTTAGAACTAGTGTCTAGTTCAAAAAGATAGTCAATTATTTTCGTATTTTTCAGGTTGTCAACTTAAGTGCAGATTGGGCTGTAACTTTGACAGAAGAGGGTACCATTCCATCAGCGAAGGGCCGATGGCGTGGGGGTGATAGAGGCAAAGAGAAGCCATGGCAAGGAGCCCCTCAGAGGGCAGAGTGTTTGCCCCTGGTGCCAGTCTGCTGAGCCGGTGCAAGGTCCCATGACCTGCCCCATGGGAAGGAGGAGGTGTAGTGGTTGCTGGGGGCAGTAGCTATGGCATCATGGAGCAAGCACAACAATGAAGCAGGGCCGCCTTAAGTAGCTTTGTGTGCGGATTGTGCTGTCATTTAGGGATCGTTGTCATTTCGTAATTTGCATTTTTAATCAGTTTCTAAAAATCAGTGATTTCTGGTCAGACCTCTCCATTGAGGGGTCCGTCCAGTTTGCGTTCAGCTCCAGCTGCCTTCATTTCCCCCCGAGCTGATGTGCTCTGTGCTGCGTAGTCAACACGTTTTAAGTTGCATTTGCCGCATTAAGCTGTCCGCGTTCAGGAGGCCGGCAGCGCAGGACGGTGGCCAACAGCACAGGCCTGGAGTCAGGCTGCCGTGATGCTGGCCCTGCCACTAGCTGTGTGACCTTGGGCCGGGAGCCTATCCGTGCCTCGGTTCCCCCTCCGGTAAACAGCGGGAAAAGTACAGCTACCTCCTATTGTAGTTGTGAGAATCAAAGAAAACAACAGAGGTAAAGTGCTTAGAATTCCACAAATGTTAGCTCGCCAGCAGTAGCATCCTAGGGACACATTACCTGCGAGGAAAGCATGCTGACACCAGTAGCACCTGCACTGAAATACTCGCTTGGTTTACCTCCGTAACAGACACGATTACCAGGGCCTAGCATGTTTTTCTATATTGGTAGACTCTGTCAAAAACATAAAATGCTTTTTAAGGCATCTAAATGAAGATTTTGACTAGCCTATCAAAAGCGCCAAAAAAAAAAAAATACACAAAAAATATTGCATACCTTTTTATGTCCTTTAAGGGAGCTTATTTTTGACTCTTAGCTTCCCTCCCACCAGGCAGTTCAGTCTTTCTCAAGGCCGAATGCCTCCCAGAGGTGCGCAAAGGTCCCTGGGTCTCAGGTAGCACTCGGAACACTCGTGTCATGAGTCTGATAGTGGAACACACACAGTGCCCCAGAGCCTTCATTGTCCCTTGAGGTCCATTGGCTTTGCAGCTTCTGGGTCACCTAGGAGTCCCATTGTCTTTGCCAGAGCGGAGCGCTCGGCCTTTTTTCTCCCAAATCTTCCTTGCTCAGGTGGCTGAGGTGCGAGGTGAGCACTTTGCTGATGGTACAACCCACGGCCAGGCTCAGCCACTTCTCCAGACCCCCCAAAAGCTCCCTTTCCTGTGTGGTGCATTTCTAAAGCACTCTGCCTCTCCCCTGCCTGCCAGGGATGCCAAGCATAATTGCCTTAATGGATTCAGGCTTTCGGAAAAACAAAAACGATCTCGAAGCAAAGTATGTCTAAAACCATCTCCATTTATCTCCCCTGAGACAAAAAAGAAAAAGAAAAAAGGCATGGAGCCTGCCTGACTACCTGAAGGAAGGTAAAGCGAAGAGGAAGGGAGAACATGTAAATGACCATTTCAAAGAAAATGTCCTGCCTGACCAGTATCAGTGTAAACTTTATGTCTAAATAAAATACACAGTATAGAGCGAGATTTGCAGACCTACCAGCTCCTCAGTATGACAAGTAACCTTTTAAACCAATGCCAACGCACTCCACACATTCATAATTTAAGCCAACTCATCCTTTCTGCCTAAGTGGTTAGCCTAGTGTAAGAGGAAGATGATATAAATAAGATTAATTAAACCTTTTCCTGTCCTCTCCATTTCTAATTAATGAGGTTTCTACTAAAATTACAGTAAAGTGTCACCAAATGTAGTGCGCACAGAAGAAGCAGTAGCCTTCAAGTCAGAGCCATTTAATGGTGAGGTTTCACTTTTCTCCTGTCTCATTCCCCTTGGTGCCCACCCAGTAGCTCCACTCAGGTTTAAATGACACGGGACGCGTATTTGCACTGGGCCCTGCTCGATTGAGAGGCCCAAAGAAAGTAGGCGAGGTCTCCCTCACAGCAGGCGACTTCCGGGGCTTCCCCCCACTGTACCCCCTTAGGCCCCACCTTTGCAAACATTCTACCGTCTCAGGATATACCCAGCATATTCCCTTGTATTCTCCTTCCCTGTGTGCTCTTGTCTGGTCTGGTTGACTGGCAAGCAGCTGTTTCTCCTACCATGGGCCACACAGGGGTTGGCAGGTGTTTTCTGTGAAGGGCCAGATAAAAAACAGTTAGGGCTTGGAGGGCCATCTCTTCCCAGTGACTCAGCTCTGCCTATAGTGCAAAAGCAGCTATTGATGGTACGTGACAACAAATGGAACAGCCGGCTGCTTTGGTAAAACTTTTCTGTGACGTGAAAATTTGAATCTTCTTTTGATTTTTTGTTCAGTCTCTTAAAAATGTAAAAACCATTCTTAGATGGTGAGCCACACAAAAGCGGGCCGGGAGCCGCATTTGGCCGGGGGGCTACAGTCTGTCTACAGGACTCAGAGCTGGCTCTCAGTTACTCTCGCTAATGGACAGAAAATGGCCCCCCGAGGGGCAAGTACTCCACAAATCGCTATATTTGGCTCTGGAATATACTCTGTAATTTTTTAAAACAACATGCCCATTTTCCTGGTTACCTTGATTCGAGTCCAGTAATCAAATTAGCACGCACTCCAGGTGAGCACAGAAAAGAGGCCACTTGAAAATCATGACAGGCGGGGGAGGGGCAGACCCGCAGTGGAGGGGAGAGCTCCGTCTCACGTGGGTCATGGCGCGCTTACGGTGGAAACGCCAAGCATTTTCATGATGCCCTGACAGGAAGATTTAAACTTGGCAATGCTGATTATGCATTCCTTCTACGTTTACACATTCACACTTTTTTGTTTTAATCAGAAAACTGATTGCTGATTTATCTTGTTACCATGGTGATTTAAACATTTCCCTGAGCTTGAAAAGGAAAAAAATGAATGCCATAGTACTTCATTAACTTACTTCCTCAGGGCTCATCAGAAAGATCAATTTGAGGGCCTGGGGGTCCAAGACCCTCTCATCTAAGCCTCCCTGTCTGCAGATGAAGAAACCAAGGCCTATGAGATGCAAGCATTTTGGAAATGAAATGTCTGCTCTTCAGTGTCTACCCCAAAGTAGTCTATTGGTGGTAGATGAATGAGACTTGACCAGGCCAGGCCTCTGGACTCCAGCAAACGGCGTTTGCTCCGCATTGCGAGTGCTCCCTGCCATGCTGAGATCCCCTGCTAGAGTGATGGCTTTAACCTAGAAATGTCACATCATTATGTAGGTAACTCCCTCAGCCCCCCACCCCTCCACTGTCCTGTTTTTTAGAACAGTCTCTGGATTCACAAGATCTTCCGTAGGTATTGAAAGGGATTCCTAGGAGAATTCCTTATGTACCCTGAGAAGCCAAAGGCTTTGGAGCGCATTATTGAGTTTCTTAGAGTGGCCCCTTGGAGATGCCCATAGGTACTTGGAGTTGCCACTCTCGACCGGTTTTTCTGAAAGTCAGATCGCTGGCATGCAGTGGCATCTTCTTAAAGTTGATCCATTTCAGGATGAACATTTGAGAACCTTTAAAAATGGTCCCACCGACTGAAGACTGTAAAGGACTCCAGGATTCCTGAACTTAATAAAGATCACTGATTAAAAGCAAAACTAGCAATTGTTTGCCCAAATGGTGGCCAGCGATTGTGCTAGGTATATGTCACCCATCCCTGCAAACCGCTACCCTCATTTTACAGATGAAGAAACTATAGTAGCTCAGAGTGGTTCAGTAACTTGCTCAGGATCACTCTACTGGTAAACATCGGAGTCATTTGACTCCTGGTCTTTCTGACTCCAATGTTTCTGCTGTTTTCCTCGGCTGCTGAGGCCTGGAAGAGAACTGTACACATCCCAGAAACAAGTGCACCAACTCTGTCCTAGGGCCCGCAAGCTGTGCACCCGAAATTAATAAACCCTAACACACTTCTACAGTAAACCGGATCGCTAATAGTAACAGCTAACATTTGTTAAGTGCCTGTGCCTGCCAGGCACCGTTCTAAGCACTTCATGTACCTTAGTTTATTTAAGCCTAACAGCTCAACAGGGTATAGACACTTTCATTTTCCCTATATTTTAGAAGGAGAGTGGGAAACTTAGCCAAGGCCACATAACTGGTAAAGGGCAGAGCAGCCAGGTTCCGGGGCCCACGGTCTTCTAACCAAGACTCCTCTTGGCCTCAGGGCTGTTGGCGTTTGCAGTTGGTGTTTGGAGTTGGATCATTCTCTGTTGTAGGGAGCTGGCCCACGCATTGCAGAATGCTTAGCAGCATCCCTGGCCTCTACCTCCTATACACCAAAGCACCCACCCTCCAGCATAACAGCCAAAAAGGTCTCCTGACATTGCGAACTGTCCTCTGGGAGGCAAAATTGCTCCTATTTGAAAACTACTGACCCAAACTGTAAAACTTTATAAACCTCCCAAACATTTATGGTGGTCCAACTGCCTGCCTAAAGGTAGAATTATAAATAAAATTAAGTCTAGTAATTATATTTTCTAAAACTTATATGCATTTATTTAAATAAAATAATTAAACTAAGTTTGGTACACTGTCCAAATGGGAATAAGACTGTAAATAAAACCAACACTCCTTTCTAATTTATTGGTATAATTCATAGCTTGCATTGCATCAATGCCATGGGGGAAAAAAGAGATAAGACCACAAGAACCATTGACCAGAGAGTGTCATGTTTTTTTTAATAAAATATTTACCTGGAAGTCACAGCATAAATGTAGAACTTAGCATCCCAAAATGTCGGAACCATCAGAGATCTTTATATATCTATTCCGATCTAACATTTTAGAAAGGGGACACCAGGCCCTGACTGGTGTGGCTCAGTAGATTGAGCACCGGCCTGTAAACCAAAGGATCACGGGTTCGATTCCCAGTCAGGGCACAGGCCTGGGTTGCAGGCCAGGTCCTCAGGAGGGTGCACTCAAGAGACAACCACACATTGATGTTTCTCTCCCTCTCTTCTTCCCTTCCACTCTGTCTAAAAAATAAATAATATCTTTTTAAAAAAGAAAAGAAAAGAAAGGGGACACCAAAGTCTAAAGAACTTAGATAATGGATCCAAAGTTACTTATCTAGTTAGTTTCAGGGCCACTAAATCAGCAGCATGTCGCCTGGCTCGCCGAGGCCTGGGTATGGTTGTGGGCCCTGCACACACTGTTGTGAATCCTCACCGCCTATTGTGTGTGTCTCTCCGCAGCCAACGGTTTCAATCTGACACCAACTGGGGCCTCCCAAGACGCCACCGCTCCCGCTGCAAGTCCAGCTGTGGCTCCAGCTGCAGATGCCTCTGCTCAGGACCAGCCCACAGTCACCAATAACCCTGAGCCACGTGGGTGAACTGTGCACTCCAGGTCTCTCCCATGAGAGAGAACCCTTTCAACAGGTGGTATTGGAAAGCTGGGGCCACGGCGCTGGACTGATAAACACCTTGAATGTCTTTGTCAAGTGGATGTGAATTTTGCACTTGGTGTCTTTTTTTTTTTTTTAAATCAAATTACGAAGAAGTACTCATAGCAGACAGTGGTACTGAAGGCATTCAAACAAACACAAGGAGCATCCTGATGACGGGTGTGTAGGAGAGGTCAGCAACGTCTGCAACGACCGTTCCTGGTGACTCTGTGTATTGGGAGTCACAGATTGCCCTGCGACATATCCGAATCCTTATATACGGGACATGTTTTAAGAATCTTAGCCCCTTGTTCATTCCCTTTTATTCAGTAACAGAAAATTGTGACTTTTCTACAGGTTAAACAATATTCCGGTACGTGCATCTGCCACAACCCTGCTTAGGTTACGGCTGGACGTGCCAGGAAGGTGATGGCTTTGTAAATTGGTTTACATTTTTCTCCTTGGATTTTTCTAGGGTCGTAGTGCTTCCGAATCATTCAATGACATTGTTGGACATTGGTTACTTTTCAATTGCAATCCATAAAATAACATTTAGAAAATTCTTAGTACTTCAATGTAGCCTTCTCCATGAATTACCCATTAGAATAGACTGGCAGCAGTGGGCTATGCAGGAAAAAAGCCTTTAGTTCATAGTCATCCCCACCCTGTATGCCTGCCTGAGTCCCTGTAGGGGTGTGTGTGTGTGTGTGTGTGTGTGTGTGTGTGTGTGTGAGAGAGAGAGAGAGAGAGAGAGACAAAAGGAGAGGAAAGGCAGATTGTGCACTGTATGCTGCTAAGGTAGTAAATAAATTGGTGATGCAATATTGTGGGTCCAAACTACTCTTTGCACTACTTTATTTACAGTAGTAAATAAAAATTATTTTTATACCATTGACTCCCAAGAAGTGGCTTTTTTTTTCTTTTTCATAGTTGCTGTTGTCATTGCATAAAGTCCTCAGGTTTATTCATTCCCCTCAGGAAGCAAGGAAAAAGTCCTCCTTAAGAAAACTCAGGATCTGATCCTGTGATGTTTGCACAGGATCAGACATTGCTTCAGGGTTTCTGGCTGCTCTGAGACTGGATTCATATAAATTCTGGGTTAAGTTTGCAACCTACCCTCTTTCTCCGTGTGCTCTTGTTTTAGAGCAAAGTGTAGCCTTCCTACTTGCGTGCGAGCCAGGCTTTGGAGCCCTGGATTCAGATTCTGGTTCTGTAACTTCCTAGCTCAGTAACCCTGGGTGGGTGATTAACCCTCTCTGCATCTCAGATTATTGTTTTATAAAACAGAGGCAATAACATTCACCTCCTGGGCTTTTCATGAGGCTTACATGAGATTATGCATGTAAAATGTCCAGGTCAGTGCCCTGAATATGGTTGGTGGTTCTCACAAGAAAGAGAAGCCTTAGGGGCCAGGCAAGGGCTCTCTGCTCTGCCCAGATCCCCTCCTCGCAGCAAGATCAGTCATTCCTCAGTTGCTGGGATCACAGGCTGCTGGCAGCCACACCTACGGCCCTCTGTGGGAATGCCCACCGCTGTGGGGACCTGCCCAAGGTTGCATCCTTGCCAGAGCAGCTCATGGTCAATGGCTTGCTGATGTAGGGCAGGCTTTCTCAATCTCGGCACTGTTGAAATTTGATGGCGCCTTGTGGGGACTGTCCCGTGCATTGCAGGGTATTTCTCAGCAGCAGCCCGGCCCCTATCCACTAGGTGTCAGTAGTGCGCACTGCCCATTTCTCAACCCCAGTCCCCCAGTGTGGCAGCAAGACAGTATCTCCAAACCGGGCCCAAAAATCCCCTAGGGGTAACACCACACTGCCCTTCACCTTGAGAAAGACCCATGTGCAACAACAAAGGCCCCTTTTGTGACTTTGGAACAGCTCTGGAGGGCCCTCTCAACCCCAGAGTTCCACCTGGCAGCAAGCTCATTGTGGTCCTGTTTCTCCCTCTGCCCAGTTCTGCCTCTCGTTTTCCTGTAGGACTTCCTGACACTGCGCGCACAACTGTTAGTCTGCTGGGACTGCCATACAAAGTACCACACCCTGCGGGGCTTCCCCAACAGGAACGTATTTCCTCCCAGCTTTGGAGTCTGGAAGATTACGGTCAAGGTGTCGGCAGAGTTGGCTTCTCCTGAGGTCTCCCTCCTTGACTTGCTGAATGGCTGTCTCCCTTCCGCATCTCGGCCTCCCTCCTGGGTGTATCTGTGTCCTGATCTCCTCCTCGTGGGAGGATGCCAGTCATATTGGATCAAGGCCCACTCGAGTGACCTCATTTTACCTTAATTATCTCTTTAAAGGCCCTGTCTCTAAATACAATCCATTTTGAGATACTGGGAGTTAGGGCTTCAAAATATAAATTTGGGGAGGACACAGTTCAGTTCATAACACCAACCTAAGACACCATGGGAAGCCGGTTTGGGTCAAGAAAACACTCATTGAACCATCCTGAGCTGAGACAGTTGTCTGCTCATGCTCATCTCCAAGATCAGATGGCATAGGCTCCACAGGATGTGTAGGGCAGGTGGGGGAGGGTGTTCATCACAGTTTTGTTGGAAAGAACAAGGAGAGGGATCAGACTGGGTGTCCCTCAGTAGGAAAAGGGATGTGGTAGGTGAATGTAATGGAAAACAATGCACTCATCAAAGAGGAAGGAACTAGACTTAGGAGCAGCAACATTAAAAAAAAATGTTAAAAAATATACTGATAAACAAAAAAGCAAGAACCTGCATCAGACCTATATCTCAACACTACGTAAATTAAAAATCAAACCTCCAAACAGTATTATATACATCCAATAGCTCTCGACCCTGGCAATATTTACACTTGGAGCACCATAGTTCTTCCTTGCAGGGGGCTGTCCCAGGTGCCGTGGGGTGCTGAGCAGCACCCTGGCCTCCCTACTAGATGCCAGTAAAATGTCCTCAGTTGTGACAACCCAAAATTTCTCCAAACACTCCCAAATGTCCCCCGGTGGGGTGAGGGTGGGGGGAACCGCCCTGGTTGAGAACCACTGGTTCAAATTTTACATCAGCTATACTAGAGCAGCCAGTTCAGTTTTCAGAGGCAAGGATGAGAGGGACTGTGTGAGGAAAGGAAAAATACTACGATAAAAAACGATCAGGACCTCCCCCACAATGGGGATGCTGGGCCATGCCCTGAGGAGCATGATGGCCCCCGACCCCCTGTCTAATGCTGTTTTTAATCAGTTGGCACGTCCAGGCACCCTTACCCCCACTCAGGCTCCTGCAGTGCGGGTCAGGCTCAGGGGACCGCTGAGATACACGGCTCAGTGCAAGGTCGGAAAGCGTGGAATCATGGGTTTAGCTGGCTGCATCACGAAGTTCAAGTCCTCTGCTGTTCGCTGGTGAGTTTCCCCTGCAGTCCCACAAATGACCGGCCTGAGCCCATCGAATAGAGGTGGAGCCCGAGCTCCAAGAGGCACCCTGGCAGAGTTGTGAAAAGCAGGGGCTGGCGGAGGTAGGGGGCGCAACCCGACACCGAGAAGCATCAGGACTATTTGCAGACACTCTTCCAGAGGGGGTTTCCTCATGAGCAGAGGAACCATGGCAAATCGGGTATAGATATGATTATGACCTCAATTGCATTCTCAGGGTGTTGAAATCTGAGACATTAGATTTCTATTTCACTTAGTTTTCACAATACCACTGCAAGTAAGATATACATTTTTTCCATTTTACAGATGAATAAACTATTGTTGCAAGCATACCAAGTAACAAGCAATCATAAAATCTCGGTGGCACACAGCCATAAGCATTTATTTCTTGCTCAGGCACCTGTGGGTTGGCTGTGGTTCAGCTGATCTAGTCTGGCCTCCGCGGGGCTTGGTTCCCGGCTGTGGGGTGGGTCCAGGCAAGCTCTTTATCCTTCCGGGGTCAGTGGGCAACTGGGGAGTGTTCCTATGGAATGGGATCAGGATAGGCAACCCTGTAATGTGCCACTTTGGCATGAGGGTTATTGAGAACAGCAGACACAGGAAGAATTCTCTGCATCCATCTATTCTGCCTAAAGGCAGGGCATAAATTTCCCTTTGCGAACCTGTCCCCTCCTCTCCTGTAGCAGGAAGAGGAGGGCAATTCTTATCACGAGAGATGGAGATAGGCATCCGGGTAGTTTACGTAAACCAACCTTACTAAGTTAACCCTTCTCTTCCATTAGTGCTCCCATATGTTTCCTAGTTCCTTTCCTACAATTCAGCATTCCTCCTTACCTTTGTAAAAATGGTATATAAGCTCCTGGGTCTAATTACTTCTTTGAGTTTCTCTTTTTCTATGAACTCTTGTACATGTAAGATATTAATAAAAATAATGCCTTTTCCCCTGTTAACCTGTCTTCTGTTAGTTTAATTCACAAGCCCTCACTTAGTGAACATAGAGGATAGAGGAGACTTTTGCCTTCCCCAACAATCTCACGGCACAAGGCTCAAAAATGCAACTGCAACAAGCAGTGTTGAAACCTTCACTCAAATCACCTCTGCTTGTGTCCCATTGGCTAAAGCAAGTCACATGTGTAAGCCACGTGGGCAGGAAAGCTATTTCTCCTGTTGAGGAGGGTTGCGGGACTGCCTTCGACTTCCATTTGTCTGACACCAAAGTGGCAGCTCCTGCTTGCAGCCTTAGCTGGTGGCCCCTCCTATGAATTCCCAGTCTCACTGTCTTTACCACTCAGTGAAATAACTAATTACATACCTTTGTCCTGTTCAGGTTGTTATTCTCTGATACTGTCTGTGTGTCCCCAATGTCATTGTTGCATTCTTAAAGTGGGGGGCACTTGCAGTCACTCAGGGCCCCTGCACAATGCTGGTACAGGGAAAGGAGCACACTAAGTAATTGTGCAAGGACCGGGGAAGAATATCTGTCCTCCCAAGAAGCCCGCACCAAGGGCCACTACGGATATGCTGGCAGATTACACGGAGCAAGCCCCAAACAGCAGAGCCAATGACTGCGGCCCACAGCGCTGGAAGAATCTGACAGTTCTTCATTATTTCGGAGGCTCCTTCACCAGCAGGTACAGCTGGATTAATCAGCACTTCATCCTCCTTGCAGACTTAATTAGCAGCTCCTGTCAAAACTCAGCTTCTTGTTAAAACCAGACGTAAAACACACGCACACAAAACCTGTTCCAAGCTTATATCCTTATTTTCAGTTATGCTTCATCCAGGCGTGAGACCAAAATCTCACTTTCTTTTTTTTTTTTTTATTGAGCTTTCATTGGCATACAACATTGTGAAGTTTAGGGTATGCAATGCGTGATTTGATGAAACACTTACGCTGCATATCGCTATATGATTACTACTGTAGCGTTAGCTAACACTTCCATCACATCACCTAATTACCATTTCCTTTCTGTGGTGAGAACATTTAGGATCTAGTCTCTTGCTCTGTCCAGGTAGCTCCATTGGTTAGAGTGTCATCTCCACATGCCAAGGTTGCGGGTTCGATCCCCGGTCAGGGCATGTACAAGACTCAACCACTGAAAGCTACACATGGCTGGCTCTGTTCATTCCCTCAGGCGGGGCCGGTGTGACCACTTAGCTTCAGCTGTTTGGATTTTCAACAAAATCTGCAGTGACTCTGGCCTCAGGGTAGGGGGTGAAGCTCCATTGCGGAGCTCAGCGCCTGGCTCCCCGCTGCCCGCCTGCTTGCCGCCACCTGAGGGCCCTTGGTGACCAGACACTCCTCCACCTGTTGCTCTCACCCTGAAGGGTTAAAAGC